ATGAATTCTGTTTCTCAGCGTGTCTCTATCCAGGACATGTGGGCCTGTAGTTGTGGTTGTTAATTCTTACAGGTTTTTGGATGGTAATACAGATGACAATGTGTGTGCACTGTCGCTGCTGGGATCCAGTATTTTTGTGCCAAAATTGAGTGTAAATGTCAGTTTGAAAGATGTCAACACAAACTAAGATCATTATAATTAAATTGTTGAAAATGTAGGTATGCTTTGATTTTTTTTTTATGTATTTTCTTTAGTCAACAATGTGTCAATGTGTGCAATATATTTATACAATGATGTGGTTATTAGGCTGTGAAAATCTCTCACCAAAGTATACCATGGTTTCGTGAAAGACTTTGACCTTTTTCAAATGTTTGTAACTTGTTACTGGTCGGCCCAAAGGGAGATTTCATGGCAGGGGGCAAGATGTTTACTGTTGCCATGTTTCCAGTAACATTACAAGTGGCTCCGGATAAGACCGCCAGCCAAATGCCTAAGCTGTCAAAGTAAATAACTTTTCCATTTCAAAGAGAGCTATTCCAATTAAAGAAAGAAGGATGGAGCAACAGAAAGAGAAGGGGAAAGCCACAGAAAAGAACTGGAGGAGGGAGGGCAGGATGAAGCGGAGGTGGAGACGGAGGGAGATGGAGGGGGAGGAGAGAGGGAGTGAAAGTCATTGCGATCTTGTCGGATTTAGAAAGAAAAGAGGCGGAGGTGGTATGGAAACAGGAAATCAATTGTTGGGTCGTTCTGCTTTGGCTGTGTTTGTAGCAAGACTGAGCCTTGGAAGTGTGTGTGTGTGTGTGTGTGTGTGTGTGTGTGTGTGTGTGTGTGTGTGTGTTTATGTGACTGAGAGAGAGTAAAACACCAAGAAAGGAGATTCGGATTAGGCTGACGCAAAGACGGGTCAAGGGCAGAGGTACTTTCCCGCTTCCCCTATGTGACACCAATCAATTTGCAAGTTACGAGTGAGGTCAGGGGTCAAGAGGACGCGGGTCATGTGAGAAGTAATGTTGCCGAGTTTAATCTTGGGTCACATTTTTCTGATGATGAGTAGAATATCCTAATAAAAGCTTATCTGTGCCTCTAATGAGATTTTAATCATGTAATAGATTGGCGATTCTAAAGTTGCTGTCATTTCCTCGCACAGTGACCATGGATGTGTTGCTAGACTTTAAGAATTGAAAGCATTGAGCTACCAATCACAATCCATTTTAAAAATAAAAGTGAAATATCTTTGCTTTAAAATCGCCCACTTGCACAATAAATTCTCCTTGTTGTCTTAAGATTCTTTGAAACTAGCTTCTTTTTTAAAGATGCACGGTAACGAAATCTGGTCTCACGAAGGTCAGGTCAAGTTTTCCACTAACATGTGGTAAAAAAAAAAAAAAAAGAGGGACTGCCTGTGACCACTACCATTCAGCCGTCACCTTAATTATTGATGAGGGTGTCCTGTGACCTAGACTATTGATTGAGCAAATTGCAGCCCCAGTTATTTTACAACCACCGTATCATGTGGCGAGTCGCAGTCGTATGTGCGCACATGTGTCTTTGTGTGCGTGTGTGTGTACATGTTGGTGTGTAATGCTCTTTAAAAGTGAATGACCAGATTGTGTTTCAGCCGTCGCTGTGGAGAAAGTTGCAAGAACATGGTGTTATAGCCCGGTGAGTGTGAGAGTGTTTGCAAGAATTTCAAGTTGAATGTATGTTTGTGTGTGTGTGTGTGTGTGTGTGTGTGTGTGTGTGCGACAACGATACAGTCCTTACATGGTGTTCCTGCTGCTGTTATTGGTTTATAAAATAAATAAAAGATAATTCATGAAGGATAACCTCTATATATTTTTTTCTCTTCCACAAATATTAGATTTTCTCTCTATTTGTCAAGGCAGTGATGCTCTTGTGAACGTGTGTCTCTCTCTCTTTGTGTATTTTTCACACACAAACACCTTTTAATTAATCACACATACTCTGTCATCCGAAGAAGTGCTGTGTTTCCTCTCATGGGGAACACACACACACACACACACACACACACACACACACAAGGTATCATGCTATCCACTCATGCCCCTGCACACACACTGCTGGTGAATGTCAGTGTAACACATCCCCCGGTTCTCCTCTAGATGAGGAGTTAACCTCCTGCGAGCCGAATCTGATTTTACCATCAGCCCCTGTCAGAGCTGCTTTCTATCCTGGCAGACACACGGGGAAGAAACTGGACCTTTATTATCCATTTCCAGCTGTTATAAAAATATTTTTAGGGTTGTGGTCATGAAAATACAACATATCACTAACTGTCATATGAAAAGCTCATACCGTAAGTGCAGCTTTGGTTATTAATTTTTACATTGAAAGTTTATGAGATCCACTCTGTGCCTAATAAGTTTCACGGCTGTGTTATGCACTGAAAAGTCCCCGTATATTTATAACTTCCAAGGGGAAATGTGGCTGTTTTTCTTACGTTCGTGGAGTGTTGATTTGCCAGAGTCATTCATCCGAGCGTAGTGAGATGTTTCGTTCATCCAACCGGCAGTTGAAGGGGGTTTTCCTCATATTAACAAATTGATCGTGCTAACAAATGTTTCTAATGCAGCTAAACCCTGATACAGCTCATTCCTCTGAGCCTTAGAGCTCAGAAACTATTAAAAACACATCAGTTGGCCATACTGTTGCACGACATGTTCCTTCATTACAATGAACACGTGCAGTGTAATTTAATTTTAGCCGATCACACACACACTCTTAGTATCATAAATACACACTTCTGCACTAACTGTGAGGTAATCTGCATCTGAAAATAGTCTCCAATAAATTTCTTCCTATGCAAGTAATGTTTGCTAAAGACTAACAAATGAAAATATATATTTGTGACTCATTTACAGTATTTTGGGGCTGAGAGGTGCAGGCATATTTGGGAAGTCCAGACTTATAAATGTTACAACTGTTCCTTTTTAGAGAAATTCATTGTTTTAAGGGAACAAGTTTAAAAAAAAAAAAAAAAACAGAATATGAAACCAAAAATAATTCTTAACTTCTCCCGTGAATACATATCTCCGTAATTGATTAGTTTCTAATCTACAATGAGAACGATGCCAGGAGTCAATGCATATGGTAGCTAAATGGAAACATTTGGACTCGAGCCCAGTGGCTCAATGAACCCAGTGAATACAGCGACAGCATCTTTGTTTGGCGTTATGCAGGGGCGACCTTTTGTGCGCTCTGTCAAAGGTTCCGCCTCCGTTATGAGATTAAATCACTTAAACGTTCATCTGTTTGTCCGCACTTCTGTTTCTTATGTACCCGGTGCATTTCTGCCGACCTTAGCAGTTATCTTGCAGCCTCTGTTACCTGATTGGCTGGGGGAGCTGGCTGTCAGGTTTAATTTCCTGGTGCGTCCTCCAATCAGGGTGGTCTGTTTTGTGTGTGTCAGCAAGTGTTGTGGTTGTCATTCCATCAGCGGGATCATATTGGGCTGTTTAAACCCGCTTCACATTCTGTTACTCTCACACACGCACGCACACATGCACACACACACATACATACACACTGTAGAGGGGAGGTAGTGGAGTATTTAGTGTAGCGTGGGGACCTTGGTGTGCCAGTGTCAGTGATGGATATGGCAGTAGTATCAGCAGTGTTGGCTTTTGCAGGAGCGTGTTGTCCACCACTGGGATCTGTCAGACCTGTTCTGCTGAGCCCACACATTCTGCTGGCTTGCTGCTGTTGCTGCTAGCCATTTTTTAAATCTGGTGTGTGGTGTGTGGTGTGTGTGTGTGTGAGAGAGAGAGAGAGAGAGAGAGAGAGAGAGAGAGAGAAAAGCCTGTTTGAGTATGCGTGCAACAGTGTCAGATTCGTGTAAAGTTCTGTGTTTGCATTTTAATAAAAAATAAGGTCTGGTCCAATCAGTGTAATCCACATCCTATTTGCAGTACTAAATATGATTCAGTTTTAGTTAATTGGTTAATTACTTGTATATTGTATAATTAATCAACACTAGCCTGGTTGTGTCTGTGGGAAGCATTTAATTTGAAGTGAACGAAATGCAATATTTTGCCCACACAGTTTACCCATGTGGCTTTAAATGCTGCTTCAGGCGCTAAAACAGTCATGGTTTAAAGATACTGAATTTCTGCCATATTAGTAAAATACTGTCTGAATGCAGCTTTAATCCGGTGGCCTGTGTTATTTGAATTTGCTGTCACTGTTAAATACATCTAGTGTTTAGCTGATGTTAACTGTCTATGGCCAGTAAAAATGGACGTTAGTGTTGTTAGAGAGGCTTAAATGCTTTGTATCCCAATTATAAAGATGACATGGGTTTCAACCTGTGATAGAGCAGAAGAAAAGAGTTGAGAATAAACGAGCGAGTTGGAACTAAATGGATAAAGAAAGGAGAGGAAAAAAAAAACAACTAAAATGAAAGTGTTTTATTTCCCTGATCCTGTCTCCTTGATCTTCCTTCCCACACACACAAACACACATGCATTAAACTTTACACAGGTGGAGTGTCACCCTACTTGCACAGATTGCAACAGATTTGTGGTGAGTAGGAGTTAAAAGAGCTGCTGAGTGCTGATTTAGTACCACAGATATTTAAAGAGAACAGCCCTTTTATCTGAGGGGACAATTTGCATTATTAATGTCGTGCCTTCTGAGAGATGAAGAGAGAGAGAAATAGAGACAAAGACATTTCAGAGAATTATTGTTTTTTACCGGCAGTCAATGGATTCTTGTTACATGAGCAGGGGATTTATATTCAGTCCCCTTCCCACTGTTTGTGTGTGTGTGTGTGTGTGTGTGTGTGTGTGTGTGTGTGTGTGTGTGTGTGTGTGTGTGTGTGTGTGTGTATGTGTGTGTGACTGCATTAAATACTCCCCATCTTTCATTTCTCACTTGCTCTCGTTGTAGGTGCTGTGAAGAAAAATGCAGCTATTAGATAGCTGTCGATGTGCTGGTTCAGCAGGACGCTCATGTATCCGTCTGTGTTCTTTTGTCTCCAGTGTGCAGGGCGGGCTTCTACAAATCTACGCTCGGGAACATGGAGTGTTCAAAGTGTCCGCCTCACAGCTTCTCCCACCATGAGGGGTCGTTGCACTGCGGCTGTGAGAAGAACTACTTCCGTGCTGAGGGAGACCCCGCCTCCATGGCGTGTACCCGTAAGTGTGTGGTGCATGTGCCATCGTCTCAACGTCGGTGGCGCCCTCGTACGATGACCTCAGCCGCTCATGTTATTTTTCTCTATCAGATATCTGACGAGAGAAGCCCTTCACTGTGGTGAGGGAGGATTTTTCTCATTAGCCAATAAAAGAAGCAGTGAAACCTGTCTTAACCTCGAAGAGCTGCTTATCCACTTATGCTCTAAATGCTTTCAGATGCTTTTTTTTTTTTTATACTCCATCCTTTTGGTAAATATTGTCCTTGCAAAGTCTAACAAAACACAACATTACTGTGTAGCAGACATATGTCCAGAAAATGCAGTTTGACAGTAAAGATACACAATATACCTGCAATGTAATCCGGAAGCTTTAGATCTGTATCTAAAATGCTTTGGTACTGGATCTAATGAAAACAGTCTAACAGTGTTTACGATGTTTATTCCTGTTGTGCAGGATCTCATTTACAGTTGGATTCCTACACATAAAAAATGAAGATTCTTATTATAGTGTGCAATTTCCCCATCCACCAGTAAAATAGCTTACTATTTGACAAAGAGGGTTAAGATTCCTCATTTATTTAAAGGTCACTGAAGCCACAGCAACCCAACAACTCTTTATCACCTTTTTTTACATGGTCCTCTTTTGTCTCCATCTGATGCAAATGGACTGCAGATGTAGATGCCTCCTGCAAGCCTTCTAAAATGCATTCCCCCATAAAACTATAAATCACTGCATTCCCTGATGTCAGATTATGGATACATCCGTTACTAAAGGGGATAGGGAGAGAAAAAAAAAAAAAGTCTTTCACAGTGGGTAGAACAGGAGAAAATACAAATCGACGCCCACAGCCATAGACCGAATCCTAATTAGAAAGACAGTCACGACAGGACCCTGTTGTGATTATCTCAACGGCATCTTGTCAACGAGGCAAATTTCACCTCATTGGGACAGATTGAGCGACGCAAGGGCTGCAAATGAATAGATAAGTTGTTGGAAGATAATGATCATGATTATCTCAGAAGAGGATGGTTTACTGTTAGCGGTGTGACAGAGGTTGTTTAGAGTTGACTCTGGATATTTGAAGATGTTGGCAGAAACGTTGGCTTTCAAGCGTAAGCTATTTCCAGCTGTATTCATCGTGAGGCGTTTCTGCAACAGCTGTCTTAACAGTGGATGAAGTAGAGTTTGTCTACTCCCAAGAATTCAGTTCCAGCAATTAAAACTGCATTAATGCCCCCCCCCCTGCATCCCACAGCACCACCTACAAATGAGCACAAAAAGTCCTGGTCCGCCTCGCTCGTCATCACCATTACTGCTGGAAGATCCTGCACACATCACTTTTTTACAAAATTAAAATTTTTAGCGGCTGCTGACATCTGCCGTGATAAGCAGGAGGCTGGAAAGAGCCTGAAATTGAGATTACAGATGCATCCTCATTTTCTTAGACACCATAACTCATGTGATGTGCTCATCTCTATGTCATGTATTATTTTGACATTTGGAATTAGTGTAAGCTTGCCTGCGTAGTGTACATGTGCATGCCTGTGCAGGTGCAGGTGGGAGGTAGACGTATATCTGCGAGCCAGAGGACTGTCAGGGTGAGATTGCTATAAAAGAAAATGCTTTAATGACGTATACATTTTTTTCAAATAATAGAAAAGGGCGTCCCTCTGTGTGTGTGTGTGTCTACCCAAGGTAGAAAAATGAGTAGTGATGAGTAATGAGTGGCGATACTGTCGATCTGTAATTATTTAATGTTCATTGCTGATCTGGAATACTGAGGTTGAGGAAATGGTTAAGAAAGACGTTATTATCACCAGGAGTTGTCTTGTCCATGTGCACTGCAAATCAAACGACCTCAATCAAATTTCAGGATGTTGGATTCTTCCTCTTCATCACCTGTTGTGGCTGAGAGAGGAAAATTGAAATAAAATTAGGCAAAACGCACATTGTGTAGAGATTGTCTTGTGATTACACTATTTTCATCTCCTGCATGTCGCAATATGTTTGATCCACGTACTTATGCATATATAATGGAATTTGCCAAATTACTTTCATTGCAACTTTATGCTTCATTGAACTGTAGCAGTTTCTGAGCATCAATTTCTTAACTGGCTTCTGGAGCCTACTTTTTTCATCACTTCTAGATTTGAGATTTCTAGTGGTGATCGTCACGTTTCGACACAGGTTGTGTGTACAGTAGGTGCACTGCCTTAGAGTTAGAACAATTCCTCTTAGATGCCATAGTCCTGTTAGATTTCTTACAACATTAAATTTGTCTATAGAAGTCTTCAATAAGGATTTGTGAGATTTGAGACTTCTCTAATCGTCTGTGTATCTTTCTTTTGAGCACAATCAAAAACTGTCATGCTGATTACTCAAGATAGGAGCTTAGGATAGTTTGAGAGTGAAGTAAATTCTTGTCAAGTCAAACAAACCAAACAAAGCACTGTGTCTCGAGGCACAATCCACTAAGCCCATTTCACCCTCTCTCCCTCCTGCTCCTGCCCGAGTTCTCGGCGGAGTTATTTGGCAGTTTTGTTTTGTCCTCCATGTAATTACAGTCATAGCTTTGATATAAAAATCTGGAAATATTCAGAGTGATCTGTTTGTAATAAGACGTTTGTGCTTTTATATGTTGGGCTAACTTCGACGGAGTCTTTTTCTTTTCTTAAAGAGGCTGTGTCATGACCTCCTCTCTTACTGATCCAAACACACAGACAGGAAACAGACATATTTTATAATACTGTTCATACAGACTCACATTAACTCAACCCTGATATCACTGTAATAAAACTATGATAGAGTTTGTGTGTGCATTTTCATCATTCATTCTAAAGACCCCATTAAACGGACAGTTACTTCCTTTCTACTGTTCTACTGTTCACCTTCCCTTCCATCTTCTCCTCTCCCCTCCTTTGACCTCCTTCTCATTTTCTCACCTCCGCCTCCCCTCATCTCCCTCTCCTCTTTGTGTCTACCAGGTCCTCCTACAGCTCCTCGAAACGTGATCTCTTCCATCAACGAGACTTCAGTCATCCTGGACTGGAGCTGGCCGGAGGACACCGGCGGGCGCAGGGACATCACCTTCACCGTGCTCTGCAAACGCTGCCGTGGCGTTGCCGCCAACGGTAGCAACGGCGGCGGCGGCCAGCGTTGTGAGCCTTGCCGGAGCAATGTTCGCTTTCTGCCGAGAGCCACGGGCCTCCACAACACCACGGTGACGGTGGGCGACCTGCTCGCTCACACTAACTACACATTTGAGATCGAAGCGCAGAACGGCGTGTCAGCGCTAGCACCCAAGATGAGGCAGTACGCCGCCGTCACCATCACCACCAACCAAGCTGGTAAGATGTCAGGGCAGATGGGTACATGGATGAAGGCATGCATCCCACATATACCACACATTATACCACATATTATCAAATTATTATCCTTCATTTTTTCCTGCATCACGTTTAACCGAGTAGTGGCACTTACTGGGTTTGACTGTGTAGAAATCACTGAAATTTGCTGGTTCATTGATGTAAAAACTTATATACTACTAAAACCACTGCAGGGTATCTGGAACGACTCTATCAGGAGAAACTAAACCTATCTTTTGTTATCTGTCATCTCTCCACTATTGCTTTCTGATGAAGGCATAAAATGTCCCAAAAAGTAATTAATAAAATGTCAAAGGCCTCTGAACTGTTTGGTCTTCAGGCATCATCACTGTCTGATAAAGAGTTCCAGGCTCTTTATTTTGTGTTGGACATTAACATATTGATATCACATAATTGTTAGGAAAGAGCCTGGTAGTGATAAGAGCATTACTGTATGTATGATAAGCCTTGGATGTGTAGAGAATCCCTTTCAAAACCAATCAGCAAGCCCAGCTGTCTCTGACGTTCTAGATACACGATGACTTTGATGACCAAGACCCAAACGAGGGAGTGATCTTACTTGACTTACAGGAAATCGAAATCAGAAAACAGATGAAGTTGATTATAGACGGCCACAGATTTAGCTTAGCTTCTTAAGTTCAAGTAGGGTATATAGCAAATGATTGACAGTGCTTCCCAACATGTTTTTTTTTTTTTCTATCTCTGCATTTCCTGGTTTAAAGTAGAGTTTCAGGAGTTTTCAAGACTTGATGAGTCGCATCAACATCTCAATTAAACCCCTCCTCTAAAATTCACTGATTGGAGTCCAGACACCATATGAATGGATGAATGATACTCATGCATGAAGAAAACTTCTTTCTCCCACTCCCCACCTCTAAATATCCTTTTCATATAATACACTGGCCTATAGTTTATGTGTTGCAAACATATGCACTCCAACCATCAGCCCAGGACATTTACAAGGCGATCCCAGACCACTATTCTCCTGTTTAACGACCAGGATCGAATATCTTCCTCCTTAACAAAAAAAAAAAAAAACTCATCCTTTTAACAGACACTCTTACCGTAAGGATGGGCTCCTAAAACTCCCATCAATCTTCTCTACAAATATCACTCCACACATCCAGGCCTTAGAAGAATAAGAAGGCAAGGGGAAGTAGTGCTGTGAAATTCCAAGAGTAAAATAAATCTAGCTGCAGTAGAAAGAGCCAAACCTCAGAAATCCCTGACTCTAGCAAGGAATGCACAAACGTCTGTCTGTAGTTCATCAGTTTATTCCCTCTCCCTTCATGTTCTCTAACACAGTTTGCCTTTGTTCCTGTTTTTGTGTCGGCAGCTCAGCATTTTCTTCTTGTTTTCTTCTCAATCATTATCTCCTCTCTTTGGCCTTCTTTTCCATTTCTATCTTCACACGCACACAAGACCCATTATTTCTACCTGTCTCTGTCCAATACCAAACCAACGCCCAGCCATTTCTTCTTTATGTGTTTCCACATTTCTCTGTGGGACGTTTTGATCCAAATCCTGGAAGGTGATTTAGCACTTGGAAGGTGGTTTTTGAGCAGAGTGAACAGATGGGAGTTTTCTCTCATGAGTTGTCATACAGCAAGGTCAGACTTACACAATCCATCATATCAACGATGATGGGCAGGCGGCAGGAGTGTGAATTTAAACAGAGAGCTCAGAGTGGGGATACCTTGAATGGGACTTATGTTTGCTTTAGTTTACAGGTTACTGTGAGTGTATTGGCTCTTTTCAGGTAGAATCAGCAAGGCAGGATAATAGATTTTCAGACGTCAACAGAGGCATATCAAGACAATTGATCAGTAGAAAAAAAAAAAAATCAAGTTGACTTCAGTTTAACTTAAGATATTGAATATTAAAACACTGTCACAAAAGTACTCAGCCGTAAGAATAACCTCACACCTTCACAGGGTGTGCTGAACGCAACGAGTGTGGCGAGGGGGGTGAGGGGGTAGGGGTGGGGGGGGTGTTTGCTGGGGTGGGGCGAGTTGAACGAACAGCTTTCCTGAGTTGAATTCTCTCCTCTGTGCTGGGATTTCTAAGGGGAAGGGTTTTATACTGTGAAAACCAACAGCAGCTGCAGCAGCAGAGTTCTGATACCTGTTGATCTGCAGTTCCTTCCTCTGCTACAGAGCAATGCTGTATTGTGTTTGACTGGTAGTGTTACTGTTACTGCAACATCTATTCATTCAGAGACACGTTGCTGCATACAAAGCAGTTTGGCATTGTGTTTTACACTGCATCTGTGAGTTGTCATGTTGCACTAATTTAGTGAAAGACGGCTCACGGTTTTTCTTTGCTCACGGATCACAGTGACCGTACAACCATAAAGCTTTAACTTTAGAGTGCTGCGGGAGAGAGACTCAAGGGCAAACACACACACATGCAGTACACATGCAGTGGAAGGATAAATGGACTCCATCATATATATGTGTAAACTCTCTAAAGAAGAACACAGTCAGTGTGATGTAAATGTGAAAGGCTGTGTATACACACAATACATACAGCTGTGTTTGGTCTGTGTTGTCACAGCTGGCCTGTATTATAAGTGACAGGGGCCAGACATGACCTGTTTAAAGTGACAAGATGGGAATGAGTAGTCAATATGGATTTTGTGTGAGTGTGTGTGAGTGTGTGTGTGTGTGTGTGTGTGTGTGTGTGTGTGTGTGTGTGTGTGTTTGTACACATACTGTATGTACACACATGTCTAGGCTGAAGGAAAATAAGGACTCAAGTAACTTTTTGTTATGTGGAGGGGGATTAAAAGCTACACATTTTAAGCAAAGACAATCCAAATGTAAAAGACAACAGAGTTTAACAAAGCCGTGGAGTCTCCTCCTAGTAAGCATTGTAATCTGTGTGTGGTTAGTCTCTGCGATCTGAATATATATTATATTTGAGGAGGGCTAATCCACACTAAGAGGCCGGCTTGTGCTCGGAATATTGAAATCCATCTTAGATGCTGGCGTGATCATCACAAGGGATGGATCTTGGTCTTTCCATATAGCAGATCAAGTACACACATGCAAGCACATTTACACGCGCGCACAAAAACACAAAAACACACACCTTGACACTATACCCACCCACCTTCGTCACCACACACACTCGCAGTCCTCTCTCTCTCCGTCTGACATATATCTTAGCCTGCAGCTGCACACTCTCCATCAGCCTTGAGAGTTTACAAGGATTAGGTATGTCAGTGCACTAGCTCCACCCGTCTAGGCACTTTCTCTCTCACACACACACACACACACACACGCACACACACACACACACACACGTACAGATGCCAAAGCTGTTAAAAGCTGGATTAAGTGTTTCCCTGGGAAGGAGCAGTGTGTCCTGGCTGTGCTGTCAAGGTGCTGTCAGATAGCGCTTCTCCTCTCTCCTCCTTTGCCCTCCACTCATTGTCATAACTATGCTAACAGCAGAGGAACTGTGATCCACATGTAGAGTATTCTAATATTACCAGTCTGAACTGCAGCTGAACTTGGCACAGTGGGTTTGGTAGGAGGAAACAGGCACATAAAGTACATGCAGGGGCAAAGCCCTCCGTTTTTACCTGCTTAGCGATGCGATTGTAGGGCTTTGCCCACCACATATCGACAGAGAGAAACATTCTTCCAGTCTCTGCCACCTTATCAATATTTTATCTCAGAATGTGTTCACATATCAATAATATATTCCTACAAAGTCTGGAGGCGGCGATGGTCAATACCTGTGCTGTACAAGAGAATGTACAAACAAAATTTTAAGAATGGAAAAAGGAGAAAGAGAGGAGACTACGTAGAAATGGAGGCTATAACTAATGTGTTTCTTCGCAGAGTAGAGACTAGTCTGTGATTCACTCCGCATCATAAATGGATTATGTATTAATATTGCTTAAACATTTTTTTCACAGGGTGTAAATTTCTTTGAGCAATAAACTACGATCACTTCCAATAATCCACCAGGGTTGTGCTGAATAAATAGATGTGTTCCAACAGCTGTATCATGTCCCTGACATCACAGGTGAATGATGCTGAAGGCCAGTTTTTAAGGCCATTATGGGCCTGGTACGCTGTATCAGTTTTACACCACAGATAGAAAGAGAGAGTGACAGAAAATTAAGTGCCTGGCAATAGACATGCAGAGAAAGAGAGAGAGAGAGAGAGAGACAGAGAGAGAGAGGGAGAGAGGGAGGCAAGAAAAGGGAAAGGGAGGAGGAGAGGAACTTGAAGCTGCCTCCTAGCAGCCCAGACACAGTAAATCATTACCACCATAAACCACAGAGCCAATAAAAAACATAGCCTCACCCGGCTATAAGAACCAGAGGGAGAGGAGGAGAGGAGGAGCAGGGGGTATAGAAACAGATTCTCCCCATCTGGATTCATTACAGGAGAAAAAATAACTTCCCGCGGAAATACACACGCGTATATGCACAAAAAGACACAAACACACACACACGCACACGCACACTCACACAGACGCACTATGCAGCCATATAATCACAATCAAGAAAGGCTCGAACATTTCAAAGACAAACATGTTTTTTCCTGTGGTCTAATAAAATTAAAAGTCGATGCCTCAGATGCCGGGCTGGCCCCGGAGCTGCCTGGCAATTAGAGAGCAGTAAAAAAGGGAAATGAGAAAAAGAGTGAAGAGAGAGAGAGAGGGAGGGAGAGGGAGAGAGAACGAGGGAGGGGTGCAGGGTTTGATAGAGGGAGGGATGTGCTGAATTACTAGATTGGGACCATGTGAACTCCCCGGGGCTAGGCGATGCATGGATGAAGGATTGGCGAGGAAGATTGGCGAGGGAGAAAGCACCAAACCGAAAGGGACGGGGACAAGCAGAGAGAGGGAAAAGGAAAGAGACGGTTTAAAGAGTTTCAAATCGAAAAATACAACACTCTCTCAAAATGCAGTGGAACAGTAGACACTTCAGTAAAGGACAACTGAACTCTGGTGAGAAATTGCTCCTTAAGCAATCTAAGCGGGAACTAATGTAATGTTTTCGTGTGAAACCTAATAAATGACTGAACAAGAGTTTCATATTCTCACCAGCTCCAGAGGCGAGTTAACATGGTAACCAAGCATAGCCTTGTTTTTCTTTATTTTGATGAAATTGGCCAGGGATTCCTCCCAGAGATTGCTTCTCAAATTTAAACTGGCAGACTTTTCTGTCCGCTCAGCAATGGTGGTTATTGCTGCTTACAGTAACTAGTCTATTTTCCTGTATCTCCTCTCCAGAAAAGCATCATTATCTTTTTTGCTTCAGAGGATTTCTCTTCATAAAGATCCAGGCGGATGACATTTTTAGAATCAGAAATTTCAAACCTTTCACTTAATACTTACTTGAGATATATCAGGAGTAATCTGGTGTTGCAAAATGGATATTTGTTGATGTAACTTGATGTAAGAAGAAAATGTGAATACTTAGGTTAGGTAAGCTTTAATCTGGGAAGGTCTCTCAGGAGCCAGACGTGGATAAATGTTAGTATTAGTCTATAACAGGAAAAAGATGGGAGAGAGTGGAGGCAGCAGCGTTACTACAGCTGACACAGTTTTGTGCTGCCACATCCAATATGAGAAACATTATAAAACCATATAAAACTACTGGATTCACTCATGGCAGTTTAATTTAAATAGACGAATGAAAGAGATTTTGTTTTGTTGAATTAAAGCAGAATCATCTGGCCGCAGCACTTTTTGCTGTATTGCTCTGACAGCGGTTAAATGCAGATGTCTCTGACTGTGTGAATATTATGTGTTTTAAGCCTGTGTGTGTGTATAGGCACAATCCAGTGTTTGCGTTAGTGTACATCGTCTCATTCCAACCAGCAACCCTGGGCCACAGCCTTTAATGTGGCCCCACTGGGCTCCAGCAAACTGAATTAGGCTAACAGGAACCATAGACAATTGCCAGGATGCAACACCGGGGACTGAACTTCCACTGAACCTCAGTATGAAGGAGCTCGCTCTCTCGCTCTCTTTTTTCACTGTGTGTCTCTATGTCTCCCGTCCAGCTCCCTCTCCGGTAACAGTGATCAAAAAGGAGAAGACGTCTCGAAACAGCGTCTCACTGTCCTGGCAGGAACCAGAGAGACCCAACGGCATTATCCTGGACTATGAGATCAAGTACTACGAAAAGGTCAGTGCGCCACATATCACTGTTAAAGCTTTACCATACGCGCCTTTGAGCAAGGCAGCATCATAAACTGCACTTCTTAAAGGAATAGTTCTTGAATAGCGACATTTTGGAAAATACACTTATTCACAATGTTGCTGAGAATTTGATGAGGAGACCATTATATCTGGTAAATATAAGCCTGCACCCGGCATGTAACCACATATGATATGTCAATTAGTGAGTGTTAGTGTTACTATTGGATGGATTTTGTTACCTTCAGACAGAGCTAGGTGAGCCTCCTCATCCATAGATGCATTAAGGAGAAGTGAATACCGCTTTCAAAGATGGTGCCCCGTTCATTCCTGTGAAAGTTTCTCACTGGGCACAGAAGCCGGAAAAGTCTCTGCAGGCTTCCATGCAACTCTGCATTTTTGGGCCCACAGAGCGCGAGTCCGTCTCCAGCTGAGCCGGTTGAGAGCGTGCACATCCACAGCTTCCTCTGGCTGAGCAGGCTGACTTCCTGTCGGCTCCCCACACACGATTTACATTTTTTTCATCTAAGTCTTGGCAAAAGAAAAAAAAAGATAGAAAAAGCAAATTTCCAAAATGACAAACTACTGTGTTGAAAAGCTCGCTGGATTGTTTTTGTTCTCCATGTGTTGTTATGTGTTTGAAGCCAAAAGTCGCACTACAAAAATTCATATTGATACACATCATTTTGATTGGATCTGATCTTTTAAAACCCTGCTCCTCTTGTACACAGTGAAAAGTTTGAGGTTTAGGTTCAAAACATTTGACTGAGGATGTGGTTTCTCACACTTAAATCATGGAGGCTTTTTTTTTTTTTTTTAACGTGGGGATGAGATTAAATGAAACCAGTTGAATACAAAGTCTTATCCGCAATTTTAAATATCCTGGTTGTGTTTGTTCTAAAAGTCTGTTTGTTTGTTTTTTTCAACTGAGTGTTCATGATACAAAAGCATAACAAGTACGACAAGCCAAAAACATTCTCATGTTTTTTTTGGGGGGTTTTTTTTGTTTGTTTTTTTTGTTATCCTGTATCTCTCCTCCCTTCTCTAATTTCATCTCCTATTCTCACGACTCCTCCTCTCTCCTCTTGTTCTTCACCTCCATCCTCTCTTATTTTTCTTCTTGTTTGTTTTTCTGTGTCCGTTCCTCTGCTCCCCCCCCCCCCCCCCCCCCCCCCTCCCTTCCTTTGTTTTTACCTCGCATCTCCCCTTTCCATCTCTCCTTCTATCTCTCATCCTGTCCTCCTCTCCCCTCCTCTCCTTAATGGAGACAAGTTTTATGGCAGACAGTAAATGCGTCTGTGGGGTCGCTCATTCCTCTGTGAGGGAAATTAGTGCAGAACGAATTACACTGGCTTTCAGCGCCAGTGCTGTGCTATGGCTGACATTTGATGGTGAAATTAACCGTGGATGCAAGTTTAATCACTCTGGCAGATTCAGTGTGTGTCTGTGTGTGTGTGTGTATGTGTGTGTCCCAGATCACAGTTTGCTTGAATGCCAACAGTGGCCCCTAATCTCTTGATTAGTAGGCCGACAGAAGCTGCTTCCTCTCTAAACTCTGTTCCCTGCTCAGCCATCCTTACCTAAGATGTTAAAACAAGGCCTGAAAACAGCGAGAGGAAAAGTTAATGACTGATGCTGGGTCAGAGCTCACTGCAGGTCTAATTCTCAACTGTGGTTTTTCCAAACGCAAACACATGCTCACTCATCACAAATGCATATTCATAGAAAGAGGGCAGGGAAAATGTAAAAGGGGGGGACTCCAAGGAAGAGTCTCTGTGACAAACTCTCTGGGCATTTGCACTGATCCCCGTTAATCACATCGTCTCCCAGGAATTGCCGGAGACACCACGGGGACAGACACACAAACACACACACGCATACACACAAACCGAGTTCCCAGAAGATTCTCCACAGCAGCCATACATACCCAGGCATTTCAAACCCCAGACAAAAGGCTCTTCCATGCAGAAGAATAAACTGGGACAACCAGGGGAGACCCCCATTACAACCCAGGACAGAGGCCTCTTGGTGAGGGACGCTGACAACCTCTAGCATGCCAAGGATCAAGGCCGTAGGAGGACAAGAGTTGGAGCACAAAGTACCCACACTGAGACCACACCATGACTCACTTATGAGACAGACAGAGGCTCACACACACACACACACACACACACACACGCACACACGCAGACATAATTGCATACACACATAAACAGGATGGTGAAACAGAAGACAAAAACAGACGGACAGAGATTAAAAGAGAGAGAGCTTTTAGCAAGAAGTAGAAGATGTTCAGATCTGCAGCATCAGACAGACTCTCTGCTTTTCTGTGTTTGTGGTTTTCTCTGTCTGTATTTACACAAGTTTAAAACAGACATACACAGTGTACATTATCGTGTAATCCAATAGCAATTTACCAATGACTCGAGCTTCTCTCATAGTAGAGAAGTGAACGTTTTGCCAACAACCACACAACATCACTCAAAGCAAAGTGCTTTTATATAGTAGATGGAAAACTCAGTGGACTAATAGTTTTTGAGGTTGGTCGACAAGGGAAGTCACGCAGTTACAGCTCTGTTTAGTGTAAGAAGCAGGAGAAGCGAAAGCTTTAGAGGCGGTTTAAAAGTTGAGATGTTTCATTAGCGAAATGTAAATCAACAAGTGGCTTTTCTACTGTGAGCTCAAGCATGAGGCAGAACAAAAGTATTATAAATCCTACATGCTGATTGGACTTTTCATGCTTAGTTTCCTGCCAGCTGATGAAAACGTAGACCTCAAACTCACCCATGTGTATCCAATAGATCATTTCACCTTAATGTTTCGGGTTATTGGAGACCAACTGACAATGCCTGAGCCACTGAAGCATTAACAAGCCAGTATCATAAATAAGCCTCAGTAATACATGGCAGCTATTGTTTCCAAGATTGTTAATTCTACACTCTCAAAACCTGCAGAGTGCTTCAAACACTGAAAAGCTTTTAAAGTTTCTGTTGAAAGTAGGAAGTTGGTTAAATTGCCACAGAACTCTTAGTGAATGCACATGAAATAAATACTACCAATCACATTACCATCATCAGATTTGTAACAAATTAAAAGGAGAAGTGCTTGGAACCGACAAACTGACAGTCCCAATAACATTATACTGATCCCGGATGATGATATCATAAACTCACTGTTGAGTATCTACTGACAAACTGTGATGAAATGAAACTGAGGTAAAATTGGATACATTCAATATATATACAGACCTAATGACAGAGAAAAATGAGTTATTGTAGGAATATTTTAAATATTATAGTGACTTATTTAGATGGATGTTATATTAAACTCACTGTATAGACACTAAACCCCCTGCAAACCTGTTCTGTAAATGGATAAATTATATAAAACTAAGTCAATAGTAAAATATTACTTCTCTATTTTAATAATTCAGTGTTTGCTGATAACACCACTTCTCCAAACTATATTTTTTCATGCCTTGTTAGGAATGCAAATCTGCCGTTTTCATTACACAAATATAACAAGCATAGTCAACAGCAAATTTGACATTTAGGCTAGTTGTTAAAATATCCACCTAAGAAACAGTAATTTGACTGTATTTTTTTCTCAGGAGGTTGATGGATGTACGTGGTGAAGTGAAATTCTGCAGATAAACTTTGAAGAGGTTTGTGACATCAGTAGCCGGCATGAGACATGCCAGAAAAACCCTTGTAGCTCATTATTTTTAATCAAAGCCACCTAACCAGTCTCTCGCCTCTGGCTTTGCCCACACAGCTCTTTCCACCAGCACATACCACCATGTCACACGATCATGAAACCAAAGGCCCAAGACTGTCTAAAGAGTTGGGGCTGTGCACTTCCTATGTGTCCTATATATGGGAATTCTTAGGGAACGTTTGGTGATATTCTTGGGAATTCCCAACCAGACAGCTTCCCAGAAGAAGAGAGGTGTTTCATCTTTGGAAATCCCAGGCGAACTGTATGATCTGTCACTTTAACCGGCTAGAGGGTGCTCTGCAGCCGATAAGGCATTTCCAAGTGCACTTTGTGAAAATAGAATTTGTGGGAATACACTTTGCTGATTGTTTTTGCATGTATTATCACCATAATCTAAAGAGCAGAGATAGAGCTTCAGATCCACTTTAATTTGGGCGCTGTTTATTTAGTCTTAGATGGAAGGAATGCTGGAAGGCTGAAACACTATTTACAAGACTCCTGCTGTACATCTCCTGTGTTGGGGTCTGTACGCGTTTGCATCTCTGACTCTGTGTGTATGTTTGTGTGCGCGTGTGTGTGTGTGCGTGTGTGTGCATGTGTGTTGTACAATCTATAATTTGCAGCAGCTTTGTTTACACTATCAAAGCAGAACGCAGCACAGAGGCCATTCTGGTGAGACACACACGTAGACACACGCACACACAAGTGGAAGGTCCACAATCACACCACTTGTTTGGCTTGCAGTGTGCATAGAGGAGAGGTGTCTGACCTTAGTGTCCTTCTCTGTCTCTCTGTATCTGTCACACACACACACACACACACACACACACGTAGGTGCTTGTGCCACACCTGTGTATGATTTTTCAGGGGATCACGTGCCGTCCTGAACGCTGACCGATGACAAGCTGCGAGTAGATTTATAGTTGCCATGAAGAGCTGTCTCAGTGCAGGTCTGGTGTATCAGTTACCTCCTCCCACACATACCAGTTTAAAAAGCTTTGTGCACCATAAAACTCTGATCCACTCCATTAATGGGCGTGAAGTTTCTTTTGGACGCTGCTTGTGCATGTGTGCGTGTCTGTGAGCGTTTATGTCGTTGAGTGCCTGTTAATAACGGGGTCTATAAAGTGAGGATTTGACTCTACCTGGACATGGTTTGGCCTTGAATGAGTTTTATGAGCTTGGCTATGTTGCAAAACATCTAGCTCATTTTTAGGATTGTTGAAGTCATCCCTAATAGGTTGTCATTAAGATTTAGGATCAGCTTTGTCCTATTTCTTTCCCATTTAACATTTTTGTTTCATATTGAGCATAGTAATAATGTAATAATATGATTACAGGCCTGTCAGGGCATCGACGAGCTCAGCAATTTTCACCCTGGACAATTCAAATGGGCTCCGAGGAACGGGCAGAGAAACATGACATTTGTTGACAACCTTTTTTGTTCAAGGCATAATTTAGCCTCCTTAAATGGCTAGTTTTGCCCTCCTGCAGATTTTCATGCCCGTCAGTCTCAAACGGTCTCAAACGCAACCTCCACAGTAACAATGTCACCACCTTTTATTATTTAACAATCTTATTTATTTATCATTTTATTTTTTGTGCTTAGCGTCAGAGTTTTCATACTGGTGCTACAATATGTTTCGTGCTGCCTCGTGTCCTACGCGTCTCCCTCGTAGTGACAGACCGGCCTACTGTAATGTGATGTTGCCGTAATGCTGCATATATCACATGTATTGATTTCATGTCATCTTTGTTAAAAGCAGATGTCAAAGTGGTATTGGAAAGTGCATTTTAATGACTCATTATTGTTATAATTAGTAGTAATTTATTATCATAATTACTTAATCTTCTTTTTCATTTGATTCTAGTTTAATTTGCTGGATCTGTCTCTCTCTTGATGCCTGTGTTTCACCTAACACCTAACAACTATGGAGTATATACACAAAAAAAAAATGTTTGAAAATTCTGGCACATTCCTGGATTAACTCCTCTCATTATTCTACCGGTGACAATGTCATTGCCGGGGGGGTAATTCAAAGGGCTACTTCATGTCTTTTCTCTTCTGCATCTACCTGCGGCCCTCTCGTCTTCCCGCCATCACTTTTTCTTTCCTTCCACATCTGGAAACAATGTGCCGAGTGCAGACCTGGTGTGTAAATCCTCCTGTTGTTTTATCAGTGGAGATCAGTAGGAGAGAAGTCATAAAATATAAAGGGCATAATTCATCAGATTGGGAAGAAAGCTGCCAAACTGTCTGGGATGTGTGTGTGTGTGTGTGTGTGTGTGTGTGTGTGTGTGTGTGTGTGTGTGTCGGTGTCGGTGTGTGTGTGTGTGTCGGTGTGTGTGTGTCGGTGTATATACATGTATATTGCGTTGTACTGCATCTATTGTATTATGTATGCTGTATTCATTAATTGTTCCAACTTGGACTGAATTGCAGTTTTTTTTTTGTTTTTTTTTTCTCAAGCAGTGCCAGCTGTCTCACAAATATTTCATTCCTCTCTCTTTCCTCCTTTTCCTCTGTCCTTCATGTCTCACAGGAGGAGCAGGAGACCAGCTACACCATCCTCCGTGCTCGGGGTTGTAATGTGACTCTGAATGGTTTGAAGCCCAACACTGCCTACCTGCTGCAGATCAGAGCTCGCACCGCTGCTGGATACGGAGCCAGCAGCCCCAGCTTCCAGTTTGAGACCAGCCCAGACTGTAAGCTCAGCGCCCAGTGGAAGCCTTACAGTCATTCATTTACTGCTGTAGCTGAAAATATGGTTTGACTGATATGTTGGGTTTGACGGATCAGGCACAAGGCCAATACTGTCCCTTCATATAAAATAAGTGATAAAGAATAGTGAGATTATATTACCGTTCTGATCGGAAACCACATAATCAGGCATGTTTTGTTTTTTTTTGGGTTCTTTTTGTTTATTTTGTGCTGCAGGGTTTCAAAGTCTTTGTGTCCAGTAGTCTAATGTTGTGAGAAGAACAGAACAGTCTTTCATTATGAGGGAACTTTTCCATGAAACTGACCAAATTTAAATATCTGGGAATTTATTGGCACAAAATATCAAACTTTCAAACTTAGTGGCAACATAACAAAACCTATAGTATTTGAACTTTGTTGGAAAGGTCAATTAAAGAGTTTAATAAACCTCTCGTGCCCTTTTTAATTAGATACTATTAAGGGCATTTATAGATTTATTTATACATTTTAAGAGTTTTTTTTATGTGCACTTGTTTATTGATTACTGTAGTGTGAGATGAGGGCTGTCGAAGCCTATCAGCATATTCATTTCAAATCTATACTGTTGCTGTGTCCTGAGAAATACTTTTATATGCTCTTAATGAAACTGAACTGAAGATGCATTAAATGAATATTTGTTATTGACAATGTACCATATATGGTGAAACTGGACTGGAAGGTAATTGATATGTTAATGATTTTTTTTTTTTTTTTTTTTTGGCTCATTACTTTTTGCTCTCCATCTTTCAGCTGCCTTCTCTATCTCCAGTGAGAGCAGCCAGGTTGTCCTGATCGCCATCTCCTCTGCCGTGGCCATCATCCTGCTCACTGTGCTGCTCTACGTCCTGATTGGCAGGTCTGTCCACCACTCACGTGACTCGATTCTCAATTTGAGTGTCGTCTCCTCCAATCACACCAATCCTGTTGCCCTCTCACTGAAATCATTTACCTGTTAACACAACCCGCTACAAATGCTGATGTTTCCCCAATTTTTCCTCTATATGTCTCGTCTGTAGTTGCTGTAAAACACATTGTAACGGTTGTATTTAGGGGTGTGAGTATGTTCATACGAGAAAGCTAAGAAATATGTCTGTGTGTGTTTGTGTGTGTGTGTGTGTGTGTGTGTGCGTGCGTGCGTGCGTGCGTGCGTGCGTGCGTGTGTGTGCGCGCGTGCATGTGCATGCCTTTGTGTGTGGCTGAAGTTGGCAGTCAGTACTGTTCAGAGAGAGTATAAATCCACGGCTCATTATAAGACTTACTGATCCTCTCTTGGCTTATAAGAGCTGGGATTACACTCATACACACATACACACTCACACACTCACACGCACGGCTCTCACTAGCCTCCAGGCTGGGCCACATCTTATTGGAAGATGTGGCACTATTTCTGACCTTTCTCTGTTTGGATTGGCAGGTTTTGTTGCCGCAGCAAATCCAAACATCCTGATGAGAAAAGACTGCACTTTGGCAACGGCCACTGTAAGTACTGGACTCAGTTTCCCCCAAGCCTGTTTCGATCTATCCTCGCTGCTCGTTACTATTCACTTGGCTTATGGAAGAAGAGGTAGCTACATTAGCGGTAGTGTCATAGTTACATTCAGGGAGACGTCTTTCTCACAGAATTTTCACACCACTAAACCAGTGGCGGTTGTTTTAGAGCAGATACTTCCATGCTTGAAGTGGTTTCCCCTTTACTTCGGTTCGTTTGGTCATATGAGAAGACAGTAATCGGACCGAGACCATATTGAGAAGGAGGTTTCTTGGTCCATTTGCAAACCAATCCCGGAGGCTTTATTCGGAAAGGGAACAAGTTCAGACTGTTCCTGTAGCCAGCTACGGCAAGTACTGAGAATTAAGCTTTGAACGATCTCTAATTATAGGGTTTACTCCCGAGAAAAGGCCTTTCCATTGATACATTTTTGACCAGTGATGAAAACGCCTCACCCATGTGATTATGTAAAGTTAAACCTTTCCATGTAAAATTAGAGCAGTGTGTAAAAGAGCCAAGGTGACAGTTTGTCCCCCTGATCGGCCAACACAACAGGACAACAGCTTATTAAAAAAGTTAGTCACGCTTAACTCTCATTTTCTTTATATCACCCCTGCACCTTCTTTTTCTTGTTCTGCTTCATTCATATAAGATGTGTTCTTAATTAGGAATACTCCCATCTTTAACCTTAACCCAGGCATTGGCCCCACAGCTGGATTGAACAGCATCTGTCCACTCCTTGATGAATAGTTAGGATGGGTCAGATGCAGAGCATAAAAAAGACCCCACAGTGAGCAATAAAATACAATTTTATTACTAAAAAAACAGGTTCACATTTTTCAAGTCTGTCTTAAAACAATACTCACAAGCCCATAAGTACATTTAAACAGTTCTTGGTCACTAGGAGATTGTTCTTCCTCTACATACTGTTCATGAAGCATGAGTCTTCCTTTTGTGCAGGGATACATTCTCAAGTTTAGCCTCAAGGTAAGCCTGACTTCAACAAGTCAAGGAGGTGGAGACATTCATTCTTAATTACTGTATGTGTTTGTATCACAGATCAGCTCTACGACTGTGTGCATGACTTTCCTAAGTGAGATTTACTTGAACACATAAAAACAGTGTTACTTGGAGACGTGCCATATTGTTCAACTTAGCGGCATCTGAGAACCACTGTTATTCTAACACACAATTTACTGTTTAACTGCTTCCTGTTGAAAGCTCATCCTGACCTGTTCCTGTTCACCAGAACTCTACTACTAGACTAGGCCATCCTCAAAGTTTTGTTTAGTAGACACTTAGCACTAATATGTTTTGACTCCTAATTTTCATTGTATAGCTGAACACTACTAAGGTGATATGTCCTTACAAAGTTTAAAATCATCAACATGTATAGAGGCCATATGGATGTGAACACACACACACACACACCCACACCCACACACACACACACACACACACACACACACACACCTACACAGAGGGACAGAGTTTTTAAACGGTCATTAATTGAACTTGCTCTCTGCTACTGCAGTGCGTCTGCCGGGTATCAGGACCTACGTGGACCCCCACACATACGAGGACCCGAGCCAGGCTGTGCACGAGTTTGCCAAAGAGCTGGATGCCTCCTGTATCGCCATTGATAAAGTGGTGGGAGCAGGTAAGAATGGACAATGCAAATCTCTGACCAGACTTTGCTTCATGCACAAGACAACCTGTAGATAATTCCAGGCAAGCAAAATGTCAAATGCAGTGTTTTTGGGAAATAAGTTTCAGCCAGTCATTTTGAATGCTTTGAACTTAATTGTGTTTTATGAATTCTCTCTGAATTATCTGAATTTTTAGCAATTAACTATCACTTAAGTGAATAAAATGGGGACATGAATTATAATCCATCGGCTCAGGGCGAGAGCAGGTCATCAATTTGCTGGGGTCATCAATCCAAAAGTGTATCAGTGCAGAAAACAGGCACTGAGGAGTCGGTCCAGTTAAAAAAAAAGTTTAAAAATAGAAAATAGATTAAGGGAAATAAATGATTTCTTCCTTTCCCTGACCTCCTCTTTCCTACCCTCACCTCAGAGCCTTCCCTTTACTTTCTCACTCTTTCATGCTCTATTTAAATGACAAAGACACACCAAGTGCATAAGGACGCACAGAAAAAATGACGTGCATGTAGTGCTCTTATATATCCTCATTTTCATAGCAGCAGGCTAGTTTAACTGTGTGTCATATACTGCACAGCTGGGAAAGAGAAAGCATTTAATGCCCCAGCTGGAAGTCCCTTCTTTCCAGTCCTCCTCTGTAATGGAGGGAGAGATCGTGAAATGAGGAGTTCATTTCTCCCTTTCCTCTTTCCTTTCTTCCTTTTCCTCCCTTCAATCCCTTTTTTTGCCTGATGCTCTAATCCTTAACTAAGTCTAATGATCGCAAGAGTAAAACAAGCCTCTTCTCTTCTCTTCTCTTCTCTTCTCTTCTCTTCTCTTCTCTTCTCTTCTCTTCTCTTCTCTTCTCTTCTCTTCTCCTCACCTCTCCTCATGTACTCCCTGATAAGTTGAGCAGGAGTGCAGACGGGAGGGTAAAGCATTGTGATTCATGTCGAGTGCAGGCAGAATAGATGGAGACTAAAGCACACAGCGCATAACAGCAGGCCGGTCTCCAGAGTCCCACCAGCTCTCCACACTGTAAAGCTGTCAGGACGGCCTGAGAGTTTAATACCTGACTCCACACTGGACTACACTACACTACACTCCACAATGCATATTTCATAGTATATATAAGAGACAAAGCATATTTATCTCTAGGAGCGATACGTGGGTAGATATTGGCTTTTTTTTTATTAGAAATCAGATATGGACAAGTCAACGTTGTCCACTTCAGAAGTATTATGTTATGAAGTATTTGTGTTCAATTTTTATTCACTGTAGAATCTGTCAATACTACACTACACTGGTTTTCTGTGGGAATTCCTTGATGGATCTCACACAGCATTAAATCTGCCAGACAAGTTACAAGGAAATGTTCATAAACTAACACACACGACATCTAGAATGGTTACATTTAGTGCAGTGTTGCAGGTTAAAAAAGACACAGTAGAAACAGAGTTGTTTTTTTTTAACAATACGGGAAAATGCCAGAGGAAAAAATGGAATGTGATTAATGCAAATGTTATATATTTGATACACTGTTGACACCCTCAGTTGAAAAGTATCTGTATCATCTTTCTAAAACCCATAGCAGCTGAACCCTCACACACACTTGAGCTCAGACTGAATAAGGTTCCCATGTATTTTTTAATGCACACAGTGCAGAGCTGAGACAAAGTGTATTTCTTTTAGTATCTCTCCATACCTTCAAGTAGTATGGCTATACATTTTGTAGTAAGTCTATTTTTATATATGCTGGAAAGCAACGGTGAAATCACGTTATATCTTACTCAGTAAGAAATAATTGCCTTGTTTTCATTCTACAAACAAACTTTATGTTAGATGATTGGAGCCACTTGGGGCAAACTTTTTAAATTGTCCAGTACTGACACTCATTTTAAGAATTACACCTTTTCACTTCAGCAAAGACAAAATGATGATAATTTTGTTCTCCCTAGAGGCTATGGCACTAATTGCTAAGACTCCTGGAATATAATGCGTTGTTGCATGTGAGTGCTAATGAAATAATTGTTTTTTCTTACGTGGTTAAAATAACACAGCGATCAAATTTTAGTAACCAGTAGGTACCGACTTACATTATGTACATATGGAAAGAATGGGAAAACCCCAGGAGTTACAGATGCTAGTGGGAAAGAGATCAGCCCGGAAAGGGAGTGGGGCTTGAGCTCTTTCAATCTATTTTAACACAAGAAAATTTGACTTAAACACCAGAGGTGAACATTAAAGCTCAAGCAATGATGTAAACATAATATCCGTCAGCTTGAATGCAGGGTACCACCCATCTGTGTGATTTTTATGAAGCACATATAAGCACGCTGAACAATATACAACATGCCTCTTTTTTCCCCGACCCTGCCGCAATCCCCATCTGTCTTCATTAAACATGTTAACAAGCCTTTGATCTTCTTGCCAATCGGTGATTGTGTGTTAAAAGACAGAACACATGCTCCACTCTGCTTACATGGGTCAGACTTTAACATCAAAGTGGGATACCTAGCTCTGCTCACAACAGGAAAGGAGTGAGCGTCCCTAATCAAGCCTTATTAGACCGAGATCTTCTTCCCGGGAGTGACCACATAAAAAGTTGTGTTGGCCTGGCACGTCTGTCCACTGCTGAGGGCCAGAAGAACAGAGCAGAGCAGGAAAGGACAGGCATGCTTTTGGTATTTGGATTTGGTTGTAATTATTCTGGCTAAGTTTTTCCAGACCCCATTGCTTCAAGTCCAAGGTTTGACCCATGCTCTCTGATCCGGAGTTGCTATGGGAAATGATTGTACAAGACAAGAGAGGGATCTGCACATGTCTTAGCACTGACATCACCACGCGCGAGCACACTCAATATGCATATACATTATGGAGTAACACACACACACACAAACTCATAGGCACAGCTATACACACTCCACTCATCTTCTACAGTCCAGCCAAATCCCTGTCACCAGCTGTAACATGGCCGGCTGCCTTTGAAGTGGCCAGCCTGCCTACACAGCTTACCATACCTTGTGAACACACACACACACACACACACACACACACACACACACACACACACACACACACACACACACACACACACATACACACACACACACACACACACACACACACATGGGGGCTGACATAAACACACACATCCCCCTCACTAGCAAGGAATGCTAATTGATCTCTCCCAGAGTGGATGTGGAGTCATGCAGTGTTTTAATTTAACATAGAAAGAAAGTTGAAAGGTCACCATGCTGTCTGCTCAGTTTGGAGTTGTTGTTGTCGACTGTGGATTCGGGCGGATCGATTTCAAAGTTTATTGCTACACATGGTGTCATTACTATGGTTAGCGGTCATAACACTTAATTATGCAGTGATTTCTTTCCAAAACCAATAAATAACATTTCCTGATTAACGAGAGTTAAGTAATGACTTTTAAGTTCCTTTTTGATCTGCAGCTTCAACTCTGGCACTAAACATTCCTTGTTTCCTGAATCTCTGCAACAGAGGTGACAAGTGTATAGTTAGCACAACCCATAGTCAGAGTGTACACAGTTATGAGAATAAGACTCAGGTTGGGAGGGTTTCCTTACAGTGTAAAGCATTTTCTTTTCTATCAATTCAGTCAGGTCCTTGTTGAACCATAAATAATTAATTGAAGAGGGAAAAGTTCTATGCCGAGTTAAAATATGAATCTTAATATATTAGCTTCTCACGACAGCTCTCTGTTAAGCATATGCAAATTAATTTCTCATGGATTTACACATGGATGAACATTTGGACCATTTTTTACCCCTAGGCTTCCATGGTGATACAGTAGCTTTAACTATAGTGTGTCTGATATTAGTCATTAGTCAGAGAGCTGAAATCCACTTGTATACAGTATCATCAAGATTTTTTTTTTTCTCTTCTTTCTGTTTTATTGCACCTTCCTTGATTTTCTCTTTATCTTTATTCATCTCATCTTTAGGTGAGTTTGGCGAGGTGTGCAGCGGTCGCCTGAAGCTGCCCAGTAAGAAGGAGATCTGCGTGGCCATCAAGACTCTCAAAGGAGGATACACAGATAAACAGAGGCGGGACTTCCTCGCTGAGGCGTCAATCATGGGACAATTTGACCACCCCAACATCATCAGGCTGGAGGGGGTGGTGACACGCAGTAAGTGCAGGACGTAAAGGCACACTGAATGGATTTACTTAGTGAAATGAAATTTTATCACTAACTCAATCAAAGTGATATTTCATATTTAGATTTTATTAAAAAACTAGATATTTTTTGGTATGGAAAAAAATGCGTTACAAATTTGAGGAGACAGTTGGTCACCAACCACATCATGCAGACATTATCTTGGTAACATAAACACCTCGGATACCCGTTGCTGCTACTGTGGAAATTGTACACTACTGAAATGAAATACTGAATATATATTCAAACAAAAACTGATACCATTACAGAAGGAATATTATTTAAATGTATGTAACTTGTGAACTGATTTAATTCACTGTGGCACTGACTACTAACGTTAACGTTTGTTGTAATATTGAAGTTACACAACTATGCTAGCCAAACGTTTAGCTGGCTAGTTGGCTAGTTATAAGGTCAACAATAGCTTGTTTCCCTAGAGATATTAGAGTAATTGATTTATCGATTATATGAGCATTGTTTTTTCAGGTAACTTGAACACTTCAGTTGTCATAAATGATAATGATAACGTCAGTTACAACAAGAATACTTACAGATGTAATTCCTTTGCAAACTCGGTTTTATTTTTGTTTTTGGTGCTCCAGTAAGGCGCAGTGACTCATGGGTAATCTTGCTTATCAACTTCTGGCGAACTGATGACCTGTTACTCAATTATTCCCTACAGTTTCTTACTTGACATAGCTGAGCACCCTGTGCCATCCACTTCGCAGGGAAAAAGTCAAGGCGATATGAACGCAGCAATAATTTGTATTCACATTCCATCACAGATCCAACATCTCTCGAGAGGTTCTTTTTACCGATTCCGGATTTGCTATTGTCTTTGACAAATGGCTCTAAAGTGGCTGACACTTCTGTGAAAGAGCGCAGGAGTTTTATTGAGTTGCCGTGGTGTAAATCTCTGCAGATCAATGTGCTCTGATCAAAGCCTGTGTCCAAAGCGGGCATAAATCCATAAATCCATATCTCTGACTCTCTCCCCTCCGGGCCTCTTTATAAGACTATCATTAGCACACAGAAGGCCTCTTTAAAAAGGAATGACTGCAGAAAAAAGGGAAATAATGAGTCTGAACTTTGTCGCTGAGAAACGGGCCTGGCCTCTATCTCTCCCTGCGGCACCAGGCTTGTTAAGTAGTTCTGCCAGTATGGTTATTCTAAAGAGTAGAATAAAATACCTGGAGAACTTTGCCTCATTTGATTGTCCTCGATTTTTGGTTCCTCTTATTTTGTTTCATTTGTTGTTTTTTTTCATCTGCCCTTCTCTAGTTTAATCTCGGAGACTAAATTGCTTCCTGCCTCTTAAATTCACATTCACTGACTTATTGGCATGACTTCTTTTAATCACAAACACTATTGCCAAAGTAAGATTTCAAAGTATGCTGTCCAAGTGGCCACAGATGGAGATTCCAACCATATTGTTTTAATTAATCAATAGTCTTTCTTTCACTGTTGTGTAGTTGTGTAAGAGCAATTTATTTATCTACCCTCTAATTTGTAAAGGTAAAACATTGTATTATGGTACTTTTATCATAAAAAAAGTCACCCAACATGCAATGGAATTTTTTGAATGTATTTCCTACTTTTTCTTAGCGAATGGTAAAAGTGAATACAGTGAAATACATAGCTACTGGTCCTCAGTTGAGTCTTCTTTAGCAGAGCTTTTGCATTAGAAAGTTAAATTTTTTAATTTGCTAATGAACCACTTTTTATATAAATAAACCAAAACCTTTGCAAAGGACACAAGAAGTAAAAATCCCTTTTAAAAAGATTTTGTAAAGAAAGCAAATTCAGTCGCAGGTCTGAGCCTTGTGCCGAGCTCTTTGTTATTCAGCCTTGAACACCAGTACATCTTGAAAGTGAAAGAGCTGTTTGTATGTGTATGTAATCCTTCATCCACAAGACTGTTTGTCTAATACATCTTACACCACTCTTCCTATTAATGTCCAGCCAGTGAGAAATGCGGCAATAACACAGGACTGCTGCTTTTAGACTAATAGGCGAAGCTCTGTATTCTGTACTTTGAGTGTGTGTGTGTGTGTGTGTGTGTGTGTGTGTGTGTGTGCGTGCGTGTGTGCATGTGTGCGTGTGTACATGACATTTGGAGGGATACCCTGAACACATGTGCGTGAGTTGCAGTAGTATAAGTGCAGGACATAATTTTAGGAGCACCATTTGATATGCTCTCTCACACACACACACACACACACACACACGCACACACTGCTGTAGGGTGATTTATTAAGCTGCTCCTGTTAATTCTTAATAATCCTGAGACTTTCACACCCCATTTACCTTGCTGCTGCTTTTGGCTGATCCACAGGCTGCATATTTGTGAGCATACACACTCACACACACACAAATAGGCATGTACTCTTTTCTCTCACACCCATACACACACACACACACACACACACACACGTTCGCGTTCACAGAATAAAGGGGCTTGGGGGCCTTTATCTTTGCTGCCAATGTTGGGAATAGAGAGAAAGAGGGAAGGGAAGTGGACAGAGGACAGCAGGGAGGACCGTGTGTGTGTGAGTTTCCGTCTGCGACTATAAAAGCCGTCCGCTGGTAAACGGGGTGATCCATCACAGCCAACTGGATCTGTGACTGTGTTTAAATGATGAGGGAATTTATATTGTAATTGTCAGAGAAAGTATTAAGACAATCTATGCTCCTGGAAATGAGTGAAATCTCTCTTTTGACAGTGATGAAAAGCAGAAAAACCTTCATTAGAAACATTTTTCAGGCGAAAATTGAAAAGGAAAAAAAATTCAGTTTTTGTTGATCGTTTATTTTTTTAACCCTGACTTAACTTAAACATGCCTTCTGTTTTGACTCATTTACTTTAAGCTGTTTGTCTGATTGTCTCATAAGGACATTTTGAATCGTAATTCACACCAGATCTGCTTTCATCAACGATACTGAGTCAGCCAACTTCCATCATTGTTAATGGAAAGTTTATTTTTTTTCCGATGAGAGTAATAGACTTGTTTCTTTTAACAACCAATCCCATCACCCTCTCCACTCATTCCCTGAAAAAAAAAAAAAGTCTCTCTCACCAGATGTGGGGAGGGTTCACAGTGCATGCAAGCGGAATAAAAGGAAAAGGGACGGGTGGGGTGATGGGGAAAGAGAGGTAAGGGTGATAGAGAAAAGGTAGGTAGAGAATGAAAGTAGGCAGGGGGAGGTAGGGAGGAGATGGGAGGACACATTAATCAGAATAAAACGGAGAAGAAGCATACGGCCGGGGGTAAGTCAAGAGTGAGGCAGGGAGAACAAACCCATCTGGGACACAAACAAGCCATGACACCGGCGCTGTTCATTTAACAATGGCTGATTTAAAGGTTTCTTAAAGAGATATTTTTTTTCTTTTCTTCCCCAGTAATAAACCTTGTGTTGGCCAGAGTCTGATCAGGTACAGATGATAGCAGGCAGCGTGGATTTACAGCCAGATCTTCCACAGAAATAAAGATGTCACACTTTGACAGCTGACCTGCTGGGGCCTTAAACTATGACTAAGATCATTTCATTCTTCTGTGCGCATGTGTGTGTGTGTGTGTGTGTGTGTGTGTGTGTGTGTGTGTGTGTGTGTGTGTGACAGACAGAAAAGAGAATAAGTTCAACCTGGTCCCCATCAGGGCCCATGAACGTGTAGATCTGCTTTAAGTCAATTTCCAGCCCTCCCTGTTTACTCCCTCAGACTTTCAGAGGATCATTGTGATATGTGGGCATGAGAATCTTTGCGCTATAGTTCTGTTGTACAGCAAATAGAAGTCATTACAATCATCTGTGAGTAAAACTACTGATATAACGTGACCATATATTAAAAATATTCTGTTCTGTCACAGGTAAACCCGTTATGATCGTCACAGAATACATGGAGAATGGATCCCTGGACAGCTTCTTGAGAGTATGTAATAGCACAGACAAACACACACACACACACACACAAACTTTTATAATGGATTATAATGCATCATACAAGTACACACCCTGAGGCAGCTGGGGGAGCACACACTTGATGGCTATCTGAGGATTAGGGAACACACACAAGGGAACCACCTTCGTGTGGCAAAGAAAATGTCTTGCACCTGTGCAACACTCAGTCCATTGTTGAGTTCAAACATCACACATCAGGTCACTCTGTCCGTAGAGCAGTACAGTAAATCTTTGCTTTCACATTTTAAAAATGTCATCTGTCTGTGAAGATTTCATTTGTCAAATGTTCAGCAGTGACATTTGGTTCAAATGGCTGGAAAGTCCAACTATTCACCATGAAAGTGCAGTAGTCTATGAAAACATGGGGGAAGAAAGTCGGAGGAGGAGAGTGGGAATGAAATAGCTCTACCGATGAATGTAGATTTAAGATATTTAAATGCCGTCTCCTGCTTTCAGACTGTCTCTGTCACATCATCAAATAAACCTATGTATCTCTCTGCGTTCTATCAAATAGCAGACATGGCCAAAAATAACAGTAATAGTAATAATACCTTGTACCTGAGAGGGGCTGATTCTGACTGTTTCTGTGCTCTCCATACAGGACTTATCAAATTATAACATTTTATGAACTGTATCCTCACTCCTCTTCCAGCCAGGGGTGAATTTGATTCTTACCATGCCTCTGTCTCTTAAAGAGGAAAAGACCTGCCTCACTGAATTTAGCCAAAGCACCAGAACAGCCAAGCCGCAACACTAGCATGAAAGCATGTGTACTGATGCCTGTTTTAGCCCTTTTCCACGTGTCTGCACAGCATCCAGACACATACAGGAGGAGTAGCTCTTGTTTCCTGACATTTTCCCAGAGGCCTGCACTTTATCATTGAGAATGTGTGATATGTGCAAACACACTTGAGCAAATTCATAGCATATGCATTGTAGCCTGCGTCCGTGTTCTGAATCTGCAAAGCTTTGAAGTGACTAAGCCAGGTGGTCTGGACACTAATTGCTCGGAACGAAATGGGAGGTGAGGTGGACTCGGTCGGTTTTCAAAGGAAAAAAACACTCATCTTAAAATCGTCTAGCAAACGACGTGGCATGTGAACAGCAAAGGTAAATGCAAATAGCTGCAGACAAACTGTACTCATCCACATGCTAAATGCCTAGCGCGAACCCTGAGCAAAAAATATCTATGGTAGATATAGACAGGAACAAGTATTTCATCATCCTAAGCTCCTGCTCAGCTCCTCTGTTTATATTTCTTCAACATCCAGACATCAGCAGAGCATCACAGAGCATATAGGCTCATACTCATAAACACTTCCCAGTGTACAGCAGTGTAAACACTACTGCTCCCCATTACAAACAGAAAAAAAAAAGAAAAGTGTTTTATGTTTATATCTCGTCCAGAATCATCTTACCACTTTGCAAACACTGTGTAGAGTTATCAAAATACAACGGATAATGTAAATGAGGTCGTCAGGATTTGAAGCATAAACAGATTTCTCAGCAATTTGATACAGTATCATGGAAAGACAAAACATCAATACCGAGTGGCATTGTATTTCAAGTTTTAATGAAAAATGAAATGTAAGCTTTTAAATGCCATTGTGCTCATACTTTATACCTTTGCATGTAACAGTTTTGATGTATGTATTATGTGTTACATGTATTAATTTAAGCACCTTCAGTAGGTGTATCCCCTGTGAGTAGCATTGAAAAACTCTAAGACTTTAAAATCTAAAATTATAGTAAAGACATATCAATTCATGGATACTTGGGAAGAATCCAAACAAAATGTCACAGAAATCAGGTCAGTAAACTCAAGATAAAAGGGCTGTCATTGGTCATCACGTTGACCATTACACAATAATTATGTAATAAGATAGGGTCATAGTGCAAAGCAGTAACCGTACTCATTGTAAAAGAAAGACCTGTTCAGTTATGTATTGGTCTGATCCTAATTTCCATACATTAATGTGTCTCTCTTTGGGATTTCACAGTTGAGCTGAAGATGAAGTGCAGAATGTCAGAGGTGGTTTTTAAAGGTTAATGAAAATGCTGTGGATACTAATGTGGAAAGGTTTCATTTTATGCAAATAGTGAGAAAGGTCAGACTCCCTTTGTGCTCTACAGAATGTACTGTACATTAAAAAAAAAGTGTGGCATTAATAGTCCATGTCCTCCTTCATTTCATCTTTCCTTCCTCTCTTTCTTATAGAAACACGACGCCCAGTTCACAGGAATCCAGCTGGTGGGCATGCTGCGTGGCATCGCCTCGGGCATGAAGTACCTGTCAGACATGGGCTACGTTCACCGAGACCTGGCGGCTCGAAACATCCTGGTCAACAGCAACTTGGTGTGTAAAGTGTCAGACTTCGGCCTGTCGCGAGTGCTGGAGGACGACCCGGAGGCTGCTTACACCACCAGGGTGAGCTGGCGCACAAACACACACTTAATACATAAATGACAGCATGAACAAAGATGTGTGGTAAAGTCCTGGAGGTCGCAGTTTTTTTTTTTGTTTGCTTTTTTTTTTTTTTTTTCAGGAATGTACTAGGAAAAATGCAATGTGGTACTCAATACATAACTTTTCCCTTTACCGCAGCACTAAAACTGATTACAGCATCTTCTGTTTCCTCTTTAAATCAGAATAAATAGTTTTTCTCACCAGCAAAATCAGAAAACCAATCAACACTGTCTAATTTTACTGCCATTATGAAAACTGGCTTCATATAATGTGGACAAAAATGGACGGCACATTTCACCTCCATTGTCTCCTCCTCTCTCTCACACACTCACACACACACACACACACACACACACACACACACACACACATATTGTAAACTGAAGTAATCAAAGCACACTCACTCTGCCATGGCAAGAGTCATGATTAAGAGTTGTGATAAGACAAACATGAAAGGAAAAGCTTCGCCTCCCTGGATCACTGCACAGATACGACAACATACACCGACTGGGAGGTTGTGGAGAGGACCAATCCGAGCACCATCTGCCCTGAAGGAATGCATTACATCGATAAGAAGTTGTGTGTGTCTGGTGAAGTCAAGTGCTTTGTTGACCCGCGACATCTGCATCAATACTTAGATTTTATTCCACATTGCATTTTGAGGCTCTGTAGAATTTGTTAAAGGTTACAACAACTTTTACAACGCTTACAACACAATAGACAAGAAACAAACAAACAAAAAATACCTCAGAGATTGTCAGCTAGTGATGTGAGATGATGTAAGGTGACAGTTGACATGTGAGTTAAAGAGATTTTTAATGTAAATACTTTAAATTATATCATTCAGTTTTTTTTTTTTTTCACATCTTGATGCTCATGTCACAAAATGAAACACACCCAGCAGGCACGCCACGCCACTCATGTGTGTGTGTGTGTGTGTGTGTGTGGTCATTTTCATCATAGGACGCCATGGTCTAGACCATGCGTGCAGCCCCTTTAAACACAGTATAATTTGCTGGCTGAGAATTGCTTGTCAAATAAACAGTCAGTGGGCCTTTTGCCTTTCTCCCAGAAATACATAATCTAAAATAATAAGGAAGAATAATAAACTCTGGCATGTTACAGTAACTGACACATGCTCGCAGATTCTCATCTCTCTTTCTTTTTTTTCTATTTCTCACTTCCTTTTCAGGCAAAATAATTGCGGGTCATGTCTGTGTGTCGATGTGCATGTGTGTCCCCTGTGTGAGCCGTGTTCACACATCTTAACACTTTAACCTCTTAGTGGAGCAGGTGGGCACAGCATGGGTGTTAGGGGACAGGCAATAGGCTTCTATGCATGTGTTTTTTTGGGGATCACTGTGTGTGTCTATGACTGCACAGCACCAGGCAAGAGCCGAGTGACTTGGCCGATGTCTGTGTTAGCTTTGGCTGCCATCGGCCTCCTTTCCTCAGGTCCATTTTCTTCACTTGTCCCGCTCCTCTGTTAGAATGACAAATGCAGCCGACACTACAGGTAGAGGTTATGCAGGAAATGTTGGATTACTGTTTGATTAATAGTGTTTTCTAAAAGGTTGATATCAATGCTTTTTGATTAACAATGAGCATGACTAATATTTTTGTTACAGTAAGGTTAGTGTTCCTTTATATGACAAAATGAAATGAATGAAAATATTTCAGTGACATATATTTTTGTTGAAATGTTTGTATTTGACAGTGTGGGAAAGAACATTAATGAATGGGACACTAAAGTTTTCAACTGCAAGTCAAACTCAACAAATACTTCACTGAGGCTCCTGTAGGCAACGTGAAGCAAGTTTCACTGCAGGTCCTCCACACCGCACTGGAAATAATAACAATAATCCTTCAGATAACTGTTTCAGTTCTGGATGTGAGGTTAAGATCACCGCGCTCAGTCCAAACCACAGAGCCCCTAAGAGTTGTCAGCTTTCAGAACAGCTCGTACATTTTCACTGAATCTTTCAGGACGCTTTGCATGTGACACGAACATCTGCCTTTATATTTCATTATGCTGGAATACAGCTACACCCAATATTACATATATGCATCACGCAGTGTACACTCGCAGCCCCTACTGTAATATTTATACCATCAATACCACAAAACTGATTTTAGCACATTGTTGTCAGCCAGTGTGCTGAGAGTTAGTATATTAGAGTATATGATTGTGTTGTCTCATATCTGTGGTCTTTCACGAATTTCATGTACAAAAGTTAACCTGATCATAGTAAAAATCAGGTAGCAAGACTGTCCTGCTCAAGAATATTGATTTTTTTGATTGACTAATTGACTAACTAACTGACTGATTGATTCATTTTTCTCTTACCGTCTCTTAGGGAGGTAAGATCCCTATTCGGTGGACAGCGCCAGAGGCTATTGCCTACAGGAAGTTTACATCAGCCAGTGATGCCTGGAGTTATGGCATTGTGCTCTGGGAAGTGATGTCATATGGGGAACGGCCATACTGGGAGATGTCCAATCAGGATGTAAGTACTGCCAAGTTGCCAAGTTAACTTCTTTCAGTAGGGACGTTTGTGTGGCGCACCCACCGCTGCAACAATGCTGCCAGCTTGGCACATGTGACAAAGCTTCCTTCTTGGGACGTAAGTGAAGGCACCAGCAGCTCCCACTGCCTCAGATGAGATGTTTAGTTCAGAGTCGTGTCAATGGACTTACGGCACATAAGTGGGAACCCCATGCTCACAGGTGAAGTCGAGCACACTAGACTCTCTAGACAGAAAATACTGTCAGCACTAGTAAGTCAGTTAAGTCAGTTATACATTCAAAAATACAGTATCTTAAGTATCAGCTATCATAGATGTTCAATATGTGTAATGCACCACTACCAAGAGCATAATGATTGATAAGAATGGCATTTCCAGAGTACTTCATTATATGTAAAAACTTGATGACAAAAAAAAACAGCAACTGCTCTAATAGACTATGTTAGGTGTCGTTTTGATTCTGAATATATCTCATCTGTATTATTATTATTATTTCCTTGATAATTCCAGGTAATAAAAGCTGTAGATGAGGGTTACCGCCTGCCCCCGCCCATGGACTGCCCAGCTACGCTCTACCAGCTGATGTTGGACTGCTGGCAGAAGGAGAGGAACAACCGACCTAAGTTTGAACAGATAGTCAGCATCCTGGATAAACTCATCCGCAACCCCGGTAGCCTCAAAATCACGGCCAACACCACATCCAGGTAAACCTCACGCATATACTCTGACTTTTATTTGGTTTGCCCTCTGGTGTTTGTGATGTTCGGTATTTTTCGAATCTTTACTGTTTTCCTGGCTGCCTTTCTCTGCTTGGGCTCCCGTGTACCTGGCTAACAGACACCTGGCTCCAGGAAACCCAGTACTAGAAAAAGTTTGCATTATTATACCTTTCACGCACAGTGTTATTGCAGTACATAGCACTCTCTGCCCTGTCATCATAATGCAAAGGGATAGTAATGACTGTTGCAGTTTTAATTTCCAAAAATGGAGCACCCATAATTAATGTAATGGACACTAAAAAGACAAAGGGATACAGAAAAGGGATATTACATTTACATTTCTCTCTCCCTTGGTGCGCGGCTGTTTGTTTTTGGAACCAGTCAGCACAGGAGCTCGACATAAACATTACCTTCCTGCTTCTTGTGTTTGCAGGGTGTTATGCGAAAATTAGCTCCACTTATCACCACCCTCCTCTGCTTCTATTTACCTTAAACAACTTCAATGAATATTTATCTTTCCCGTGCAGTCTAATGACATATTCCCCCCTACTTTTTTGTTTACTTTTTCCCTCCTTTTTCCCCTCCCTTGCGCTCCTGTCCTTTGTTGGGACCATCATTATATCCCAGGCAACCACGGGGGACCAGGGCAGCCCATGTACAGTCGTCAATTCTGGGCAGGGAGGGGCAGGCGCTGGGTCTGTAGCAGACAGTCGTGGCATTATGGAGACGTCAAAGCTCATAACATTGACTAATGATTTCTTAAGAAAGTGAAAATAGGTCCCTTGGAGTTTGCATGTAATTTTCCTGATTGGCTTTTAACACTGGGCGAGCACAGGCTGGCCGACGGAGGCGGCTGTAGTGATTTATGAGAACGGTGTGTGCATGTGTGTATCTGCGTGTGTGTGTGTGTGTGGTGGCGGCGGCAGTTGCACAGCGGGAGCAGCTGCTCTCAGCTCCACACACCTCGTTTGTCTCGGGGCTGCCCTGGCTGGCTAATGGAGCACCCCCTCCTCCACAAAGCCCAGACCAAAGCCTGGGATTGGAGTAGAGCATCTAGAGACTTTGGGGGTGGGACCTGGTCAGAGTTTAGTGTCCCTGCATGTGGATGAAGAGGGACTGGAGTCAGTGGACCAAGGTTGGTCACCAGAGACTAATTATGGGGCCAACAGGAGTCAAGTCAGGGTTAGAGGCCACCGTCTATCCCATTGGCTTTACAGTGTGTCTAAAACATATAAGATCAAAGGTAAAGCTGTCTTCAGACTGAAAAGGTGTCTTCCTTTATGTTCAACAAAGCACAGACATGGTGGCAATCACAGTGCTAAAATACAACTAGGCCTAGTGCTCATTCTAAATATATGTCAACCATCATTAATGTGCAGTGGTCAGTAATGCACTGCTACAGATGTAGCTGGTTTGGGCCTCTTACATAATTAACTTTCGCTCCATGCAAGATAAAATGAATGATGACAAGCCTCTATAAACATGTAACAACAAATCAAATTTATAATATTACTCCTCATTGTACCTTATTTTTAAACAACCTCTGTCCAGGGAAAAAGGAGCTTTGGTTCATTTTTAGTAGTTAGGGCAGGGCGGGAAATGAGGTTGCAGCTGAAATAAGAGCTAACCAGCTTCCTGGTAAAGGGCTTGGGAGACAGTAACAGGGACTGGGGCGGGGGCCATGGCTGCACATGGAACTAAGCTTAAATCTATGTATCTTGGCCTGTAGGTAAGGTTGGGACTGGAAATGGAAACAAGGTTTCTGTTAGTGAAAGGAAACCAGTTAAGGGTACTAAAGAGCACAGATATTTATGCAAAGATATGAGGATATAAAAAGGCACATTATAAGGAAATATTTGCTGGGTAAGTTGTGCAGTATTGGAAACTGGGTGGGGGACACAAGGTTGACACCAGGCATTGCACATACAGCGCATTGAAGACATGTACTTCTGAATTAAATTAGCCATATATGTTCTCTGCGTTTTATATTCAAGTAACGCTCCCATTACACAAAGTCAGATACTCTCTTGAACAACACTAACACTCTACAGTGAAACTCTGGCTATGATATAAATCAAGTGGCCCACCTGTGAAGCATTGATTAAAACTACATCGTATTCATCATATCCAGCAGAGACAGAAGAAACCTCATGACCACGTATCAAAATTTCAATTAAAAGGGCTGACACTGACCCTGTGCATTGGTCTAACCTCTCCTAGCGACACCCTGGGAATTGTCCCAGTAACACAGTGAAAGGTGAATTCCTCCCACACTGTCCTACCCACATGAATCTGTTCATGCTCGACTCCTCATCCACCTCGCTCCTCCCTTGAGAGCTCTAAAACAAGAGACTACACAGCCCTGGTTATTTAGAGGTCAAAAGAATGAGAGATTGAGCAAAAGAGGGGAAGGGAAATGAAAACGTGGGGGGGAGGGACTTTACTCTCTCTCTCTCTCCGGTGTGCTTCTGCTTCCTTCTGTTCGAGCGGGTCTTTTCTGCGATGCTATACGGTGTTAAGTCCACGAGGGGTTTTGAAACCCCCTCTTCTGCCGTCAGACAGATGCTTTCTTTTCTCTTTATTTTCCCCTTCATCACATCCCTCTGTTTCTCTGTTTCCTCTCCAATCATCTTGTCTCCTGAGCTGCCGTGAGATGTTGCTGAAAATGTAACAACAAAGGAAGCAAAGAAAAATGATAAGGGAGGGGAAACAAGGTCATTTGCAGTTTACCTCTCGGAGGAGACAGGAGAAGGGGAAAGAAATAAGAGGATGAAGAGGGAGAGGAGATCAGAGAAGAAAAAGAAGAGAAGGGGTAGAGAAGAGGAGAGGATCAATAATCCTAAAAAAATCTGAACATCCGTATCCTGACAGCCCAGAAGTTAAAATCTCAGACTTTTGGACATATCTAAATTTGATTTGCAGCAAATGTAAATCAGTCACACCCTTCATAATCACTCTTTTACGCTACATTAACAGAATATAATAGTAACTAGAATTTCTGCATTTTGTTTCTCATTAAAATAATATTAATGTCCTCTAAGGGAGATTTACAGACTTCCTTCTTTTCCCCTCATGCAAACCACCCCCACCGTCAAGCCCTCACTTCCCCTCCTTTTCCTACAAGCCAGTCTCTCCAGGGGGTCCTGGGGGACCCTCAGCATTTTGACAGGCCTCTGATCTGGCAGGAAAAGACTCAATCTTTGTAACAACACCCACTCCACCGCCTCAAATGCATCTTTTTTCTTCCCATTTTTTCTTCCTTTTTTCCTGTCTCTGTTGGAGATGTCATCTCACTTTTGTTGGCTCAGTGTGCTGTTTTTGACATTGTTGCTTGACGGAAGCTTGACGATCTATTGAAGCTTCTTTTGATTGTATTTTGCTTCTTTAAATCAAAATAAATCATATCAGCATGAAAAGAGAATAATTGTAGTGTACCAGTGCAACAACGTGCATCCCATCTCCGGCTTCACAGATGATCATCATTAAAAAATTTAGGAAAGAAAACACTTTTACCAAAGGCTTCTTAAAGAAAATATAACAAGATTCCAGATATATGCAAAACTTTTTTCGTTTTTTCACCCGCCTTATGGAATTACACATCCCTTAGTCCCTGAAGGTATCCTAACCCAAGGTAATATTTCCCAGATTTTCACACACACAAACACACACAGTGGCTCCAAATCTCCCTGCCAATCTAAATCAGTCAGGCGGAGGTGGACTTCCTGGTACTCTTGCGAATTTATTTACAAAGCTATGAATAGTATTCCCTCAGGGGAGAACTACGCTTTTTTCTGTCCTGTCCTGTCCTGTCCTGCCTTCTTCTCAAGGCTCTATTCCCCTGTGTATATGCATGTGTGTTTGTGCTTCTCTTGACGCAGGTGCCTTTGTCTAATCTGCAAGACAGGTGCAGCGTGTCCTTATAAAAACCAGAGTGTCTTTGCAACCCAGTTTTGAATGCCGCTCACAAACTCACAAAGCAATAAACACACAAAGTGATCTAGCCATCCCGTTATTTGGGTATTGTTTGATTGATCATTGTGTTTTGAGTTCCAGTTTGACCTAATGTGCTTTGACCTAGTTTTCCATTTCCTGCCTTGATGTGATCAGGTTTCCCAACAAGAGAATCAACCACATATGTGTAAAACGCAGCATCAGCGGTGACATCAGAGATAAGACACATAAAATAGTCTTCTGCTTCCCGTAGGCCTGCACTCTCCTACAACTCTAATGTTCCTCTCTTGCTCTGTGTATGTCTTTCTGACTCTCGCCCCCCACCCCCCTTTTCGGCAAACATCAATCAGAGCTAGTCAGAGCGGTGCCTGCAGCCTTTCCTTCACCCTCTACTGTTGACTGAGCACTCTGAAGCCCAACGCAGTGCATTTAATTTGATTTGATCCAATTGAAACCATCAAGTCTAATCAAATCTAATATAGCATTTTGCCGCATGGTACATGTACTGCAGGAAACAGTAATGAAATTAGACAGAAACTGATGCCGCTTTTGTTGGTAATCTTGTTCTTGAATATGTTAAAAATATTATGGAAATGTTTTGTGTGACGGTTTGATCCCCCCCCTGGACTCAAAGCCCAAAGGCACTGTGCAGGTTTACTGTTATGCAACAGACACAGAAGGCCAGTGTGTGTGTGTGTGTGTGTGTGTGTGTGTGTGTGTGTGTGTGTGTGTGTGTGTGTGTGTTTGTGTGTGTGTGTGTCTGAGTGCTGCTCTGTCAGATGTTTTTTTCACTTAGCTCATAGCACACTATGTTTATTAAAATGCACAGACCATTATCATTCATCATTAGAATAGAAGCAAATATAATTACTCCTCATTCCCATTGCCACAGTTTCTTTACTTTCACTGCTACGTCCTCTGCCAAGGTAATTTTTATCAAGTGTAACGCTGTTGCTGCTGCTGCTACTACTACTCACATTGCATTACATAAACCCTGTTTCCATCCTAGTGTCCACCTGTAGGCTCTGAATCACACTGGGGGGGTGGAGGGGGGGGGGGTTATTTTTGTCACTCCCCATTCTGCTCTGTGCTCAATTGGTGTATGCTTGAGGGCACGAGGTCAGTGCCCTGACACTAAATATCAACTCTGTACATACTCTTGATTCACGTAGCCGTAGCAATGTTTCCCCTCCACAAGTTGTGGTTGACTGAAGAGCAGATGGCAGCTGCAGTAGCAATAAGATTAAACTGTCAGCTGGAGATCTGGGTGGCGCTAATGGCCTTGTGTTCCTGAAAACTATGCGTACGTTGTTTTACTACACGACAACGTTACAGGTCATTACTCAAAGAAATTAGTCTCTTCCTTTACCATTAATTGATGTTACTCCTCCCTCTCTCTCTCTCTCTCTCTCTCTCTTCTTCAGGCCGGCCAACTTGTTGCTGGACAGGAGCAGTTCAGAGGCTCCCTCCATGGGCACGATGGGTGACTGGATGGATGGAATGAGGACCTTACCCTGCAAGGAGGCCTTCTCCGGGGTCAGCTACAGCTCCTGTGACACCCTGGCCAAGACCTCCACAGAGTAAGGCAACAACACGCGCAGACGCACACATTAGGTTTCTCTGCCTATTCATGTCACTACAGGGACCCAGTACTCGTGGCAAGGCCCAGGAATTTGAAGAGGCTCTTGGTGAAGCGCACACACACACACACACACACATATACTCTTGTTCTCAGCAAGTAAAGAAAGCTATAGAGCCATTGCTAAAAGTGTCCAGATGAGACTCATGGTAACTCATAATGACAGGCCTTTCGCCACGCTCTCAGTGTTGCAAGTATGACCACAGTGGGAGAAGGTGAGAGCATGAAAAGAAAGAGAGATAAATAGAGAGACAGAAAACAGAAATAGAGGGAGAGAGTGAGCTGTGAGTTCCGTGAGAGAACAAGGGAGAAACTATTGAGGGTGGGAATGAGAGGCAAGGTTTGACAAGATAAAAGAGTGGAGAGAGAGAGAGAGAGACCTTTGAGAGAAAAATAAGGGCAGAGCTGTCAAACAGGTATGCAAAGATATGTCACTCTCCAGAAATCACATTTGGAGAGCTCACACTGCAAGACCTACCTTATGTTCTCTCCAGGATGAGTATATTGACCTGGGTCACACTGATGTGTGCTCACTTTAGAATATCTTCTAAAATATATGTTCATACACCACGTTTTTTTTTTTTTTACATAATATGAGGCATTACAGATACTTAAGATATCTGCCGTGTCCACTGTTCTCCCTAGAACATCTGCTCCTGTCAGCTAAAGCATGGTTGATATTTTCATGCTTAAGATTTAAGCAACTCTGGTTTCCTAAACATAACAATGTGATGGTTTTTGTGTCATGTCAACACCGATTTTAAGCACGAGGTGAGGCTTGTTCACACATCCTGGATGGCATAATTGTTGACAATGTATGTATACTTCCAAAGCATATTTTGTAAAGCAAATTATTTCTATACAAATACTTTTTTTTTTTGTTAGAGGTTGGGCATAAATGTTGTGGTGGGAGATAATATATATGCAGGGTATTTGTCACAGCATAGGGTTTAGTGAATGAATGTCCCTCAGTGAAGGAGAGATAGTAGCAGAGACAGAGATATGTCTGACCCTGCTGACACGATCCTCAGACTGAAAAAAAAAAAAAAAGGTTCCGACATAGTGGATCAGGTTCTGGCCGGAGTCCTGTACTGGCAGGCTGAAAGGAATTATGAATCCCAAGCACAGTTGTAATAGACTGAGAGATTACAACGATGAACAATCCTTCAGACATACAGTTCAGAGTGCAGCTACCTGAGAAAATCAAAGACAACTGACAAGTTTTTTTTTTTTAATCTTTTTGTTGTTTTTCTTTTTTGTCAATTTAAAGTGAAGAAATGCTCTCTCTCTCAGTCTCCCTCTCTCTGTCTCTCTCTCTCAATCTCTCTCTCTCTCTCTCTCTCTCTCTCTCTGTCCCTCTCTCTGTCTCTTCATGCCTCTCTTGCACTGTTGGCCCGCTGCTGTTTTAATTGATGTGGAATGTGACCGGGTAAATAATTGGACATTTCTAATTAATGTGATCAAAGGCAGCCATTCACTGTGGTGATGGCAGCAGCTGGGGCAGTTGGGAAAGGGTGGTCAGTGCTGCCGCAGCCATAGCTCTAACTGCTGTCTATAACTTATCAAAGCAGCAGTCATTAACAGCGTCGGGCTGAAGGTGTTTGAAAGAATGTAGCTCTGTGGAGGACACATTGTTTGGATTCCAGGCTTTAAAGTGTTCATTTCTTTCTCATTCTTCCTCGGCTTATTTTCCCTCTTCTCGTTCCATTCTACATCTCTGTCTCTTCTCTCCGGGGTACAGCACAAGAGCTGCATACTTTTTCTCCAGGCATTTCTCATGCAATTTAATCAACAAATACCTGTAATCAATGAAAAGCTCTCTTCAGTCAACATGTTACAAAACAAAAAAGCTCACACTGCAGATCAGGTGGAAATCCACATTGTGTATTTGCAAATTACATCACAGTACATGCAGTAAGTGCAGCAGTCTAAGCTCGTACTGAAGAAATCATATTGGTCTACAATGCTTTTTCTATGGTTAGGTGCTAAATTGGATCACTGCAGTATTAATCCACTGAAGACTCAGGCATCCAAAGCTAACTCAGCTACGACGCTAGCAGCCTTGGCTGAGTCTATGCATTCCTCAATATAGATTGCTCTATTGATTTGTACAGTCTTAATCTAGTTCTTGATATTCAGCACAAGGCTTGGCAATGCTGTGACCTCTGAGGAACAGTAATCATACTTGGCTGCAGTGTGCTGACTCATCTGCTGGAGTAATTGAAGTTCTTTTTCAAGACAGGACAGGATAGACTGACGAGGAAATACCCCATCATTTGGACTATTTTCTTCATCTGGATATAGTGCATGCAAAGTTCACTCCATGTATATGATTGAGGAAGTGATGAACTTGACCTAATCTGCTGGACAAAGGAAAGCAATCTGTGACACCAACAACAAGTGACCAAACAATTTCTAGCATTACCAAATACGCTGCAGTACACCCACATCAAATGTTATCAAATGGCTGATATCAGTTGTCACCACTCCCATAATTATGCTCAGACGCCCAGAGGGTGCATACAAGCATTGCCCCTGTTCTCCAGTAAAAAGGGACTTTTCAGGTTGTCCATACAAGCTGCTGTTGGTGACATCATCTGACTTTAAAAAAATGGCAAACAGCTCGTAATACTAAGGAGCTATTTTAATTTATTTTGTGCTTAAACCTGGTCCGCTCCACATTTATTATTGTAACCATGATGACGATGGTTTGGCACATAACAGCCCACTGAGCCGACTAGGAGGTGCACTAGGGCCCTAATAACTCACATGTTTATGCTACCGATGGCAACTGATAACAGCCATTTAATGGGGTGATAAAATTTGAAGCGGGTGGTATGTACGTATTCAGTCTATACAAGGGATTTGCGCTCCTCTGCAAATCAGGGGGCGAGACCATCAACCCTTCTGTGGTACAGGCTGCGAAAGCACTGTCATACCCAAACATTACCCAGCATCCACTTCCTCTCAGCAACTCAAAAAGTGACACCACAAATGAGACAATTACTTGTGCCCGTGTGTATTCGTAAGCTGATACAGTGGTTATGTTTGTTGGGTTTCTGTCCATGGCAAACTGATTTACAGGAGGGTTCACTGCAAACCAAACTGCATAAAAAGAATACCCAGCAGAGGTATTGCTGTGGGATGATGGGAATTGTTGAGTCAATACTGTGACATACTGTGGAAGGAAACTTTCAACTGCTAATCTGTCTCATGCGATGATGTGTGTGTATTTCTATATGCTGAATACCTATCTCTGGTTGTGATTTATAATCACGTCTCATGTGTTCCGTGTTGTAGTCGTTTATTGTAGCCTGTTGTTATTTCATCTTCACTGTCTGTTTTTGAGATGATTCTTGAAGCTCTCCTGACATAAAAAAGTCCCGTCTGATTAAGATGTGGAAAACACTCATCTACACTCATCACTACCCATGTCATGAGGAGAGTTTAGTGGCTTTAAAATTGTATATGATATATATATTGAAAAGATGACATCACAACTGCTGTGACTCTCAGTAGAGCAGCGCTACGGCTCAACAGAGATGAATTATTTGTATGTCAGTGTTTCAGATGTAGCTTCAATGCTATAAATGTAGCTAAAATGAAGCTAGAACAGTGTGTTGCACGCTTTTTGGCTGAGTTAAAGAACATCCTCACTAAATGTGACCTCAAGTTCCTATTATATTATATTGCTTCTCACCTCAACACTGATGTTGTGGTGTGTCATATTTTGTCTCTGAGTGATTAATGATTATATCCCAAAAAGCGTAGGATCATCTTTGCAATCTTATGAGTTTTATTACTTTATTTATTATATATCATTGTCAGATTTATGGTAGATTTTGGCTGAGAGTTTGGTTTGGTTTTTCTGCAAAGGACTGTCTACAAGGATTTTCTGTATATTTCAAGGTCATAACAGTTTTTACTTTTTTTAATGAGTTATGAGTATCTTCCTTCCTAAATGATGAATTTATACTGTATAAGTAAATCCACATGATTTAGCCTGATTTATTATAACTACAAATGTGCTTTAGATACCCTCCTAGAGAAAAGGAGCTTTGGTGATTTCCAGTTTCATGTGCTAATGTTGCCGGGCCTGGCTGTGTCTCAGTAGAGTGGTTCTGACGGAGGTCCACGTCACACCCGCCACTTGCCCAGAATGGGAGCCGTCCATGGGGATCACCACTCTCTAACGCCCAGCTCCTCTCCGCCTCCTCAGGCTCTGGATGGTGGGTGGAGGGTGAGGGCCAAGGCCCCACACCCGGGAGCAGTAACCTACCTCCAGAACCACTGATGGGCTTTCACTTGGCTTGTAAAGGGATAGTTACGTCAATAGACAACTCGACATCTATGTTTCCATGCCACCATGAGCTGTAGATAAACAAAAGTAAAACAAAATACTACAAGTCCTAATATTTCATGCTGCCAAAATACAAAAGAACATTTTGAATATTTGGAAATTTTCTGATTTACAACCTAGCATGACAGAGTATTACCAGTATATATTCCTAGGAATACTGCTGATGAGTGGCATTTGCATGTATTATGATGTCTGTCAAATTATTAAGAAAAATTTTCTTTTTACTATTATTGTACACTTATTGTACATACAAATTAGCATTGTTAATGTGTGGATGCAAACTGAGCTGTTGCTCTTTATTTTGTACATTTTAAACTTTAGGGAAATACACAATAAATTCAACAGTTTACATTAAAAACGCATTACTTGATTTGAGTGAACTATCCCTTTATATTGTAACACAAAGTGAAAGTCTGTGATTATCTGGGTGCTTGAAAAGTTTCTAAATGTCTTTTCTACATGTACTTTGGCTGCTCTGGCAAACTTAATCTTACGCTTGCAAATAATAAAAACCTAACTGTGATATTTTTCAATAACACGTATAATATCTTGAAAGTGTTTGTTGTAGAAATGCCACCACTCCAACTGCAACTCCACTGCCTCTACTAATGCAATATTATCACTAGATGAGCAAAAGAGACGAATCTTTACATGTGCTTTGACTTCTTGTGTACTCTAATATCAACGATGCTGTGTGTATTGCTCTGGATATACTATGTATTTAAGGTTGTTGTTCCTGTATGTTGCAAATGTGGCTTGATATTTGAATTAAGTTGACTAACTACTCTGTGTATTTGATGTGTATGATACTTAACGTGTGGAACTGACACTGTAGCTCTAAATGATTTAAACTAGTCTTATACACAAATGGTCTTTTCTTACACCTGAATGCATGTACAGTAACTAATCTTTTAAGAGCTTTTTCAGACTATTAACAAGTTCATCTGAATCAGAGTTCTATATACAGCGTTATATTCTGCACCGGATCCAGTGCTGCTCCTCTCCACATATACCTGCCCTGTCAAAGAAATCCAGTTCAATGCAGGAAACTAGGTCTTTTGTGCCACTGTGGCCCTTGCATGCAATTGTTTCCTCCACTGACAGGGTCATAATAGCAGCTGTCAGTGTAGCCCCACAGGCCCACCTCCATGTTTGTTAGTGATGGAGATTGGAGGCAATACACTTCCCACACACACACACACACACACACACACACACACACACACGTCTCCTTCCGAGATGTGGCAGCCCAGTGGCCTTCTGGGAAATGCAGTCCTGTGTGAATGACAGCTGCATGGGAATGTGAAAGGAGCAGCACTAGAAGCGCGTCATTAAATGCCACGTGGGTGTCACGTCCTCCATCACTAATGCACATTTTTTCTCTTCCCATTTTCCCCTTTGTCATGTCTTTCTCTCTCTCTCTCTCTCTCTCTCTCTCTCTCTCCCTCTCTCTCCGACTGCGTCTCATTTTCAATCCTCTCCTCTTCATCTCTCTCTCTCCTGCTCTCTCTCTTTCACCAACTAGGGATCTGAAAAAGGTTGGAGTGACTATCGTAGGACCGCAGAAGAAGATCGTGAGCAGCCTCAAAGCCCTAGATTCCCACACCAAGAATGGCCCAGTACCTGTTTAAAAAAATGAACCTGTCTTTCCGTCTGTGTTAACAGACTGTGGTTGCTAATTGCACTCTAACACAGTGGCTGCGTATCCAAGCTAGAAACAGATGGAAATGGGGGGGAGGGGGGTATATATGATTCAGATGAGGGCTTTCATTGTTTCGTTGAAAGACGATATCAAGTCCTGAGAGAGTGAAACAGGAAGAGTTCAGTGCAGATCTGCCAAGCCGGTTGACTGGCTGACTCTTCAAACCTCCATCCCTCCATGCCCAAGTTGAGATGCCTTACAGACTAATAGGAGGGTAGAGAGAGCAGAGGAGAGCCAATGAGGTCAGTGAGACCTGGTCAGCGATTCAAACTGGGACTGGACTGGGATACGGGGCAAGGACTGGACTGGACTAACATAAAAGCCGGAGCTCTCCAACATTGGCTAAGCTGGATAGCATAGCCTTCCCTTTACAGCCAAGAGGGGACGGGCATGCTCACAGTCTCCTCCCACCTGCCTGTGGAACGAGGCGGTGAAACGGCTGAGATGCCTTGTGTAGACGAACATGGCAGACAACAGCAGCTCACCTGGATGTGGACCCTTCCTGGACTAATGAAGTCTGAGGCGTGAGATTTTCTTGTAACTACCTGCATTTCCTGTCTCTATCCATGAGAGAGCTGAGCTGGTATGGACACACCGAGACAATAACCGAGCCATTTTACTCTGTAGCTCTAACCTATAGCATTTGCATTCAGTAGACATGTCACATAAAAGCAATAATTATGATAATCAGTTCAATAGTCTGTAGTATGGAAGCCATGAGTCTGTCACATGTATAATGTATTGAACGCTGTGCTTTGAAGGTACAGGGGCCATAACGCACTTCACACACACAGAGTTTTCTTTTACGGTGAAATCTATGTTTCTATGTGCATATGAGCAGATATTGTACAGTTGTAGTGCTGTTCCCTCAACCCAATGCCCTCCGTGTGAAATCTCAGGATGTATACGTTCTTCGTTCTATTTTCTCTAACAAGGGGAAACAGATTGAGAGATGGAGCAGAGCCAGGAACTGAGAGTGCACGTTAAGATAGACAGGAGAGAGAAACGGGGGGGGGGGGGAATTTATGAGAGGGGAAAGAGAACTTAAATAAGATGAAGCAGTGTCATCCAGGCCTCAGCTTCAGATGTTGTGTTGCGGAAGTGTTTTCAACCAGAAGTGAGTTTGTACTTGAGTTTCTTCTTCAGTTAAAACAGGTTAGCATCATCAAACCCACACAACAACAGGTATAATTTCCTTTTCCAAGCTGTGAGATATATTCTCCGTTCAGCCAGTTTAGATCACACTGCTTCTCTGAAAAGTTTTGTAAACCTATAATCTGTTTGCTTTTGGTCTGAATCCATAACTTATTAACAAAAGCCACCTGGGATCTGTCATGTTCTTCTTTGATCAGAAATTTGCTGTAAAAAAAAAAAAAAAAAAAAAAAAAAAAAAGGACTTTGATCTAGTTTAAAATGAGCTCTTAATCCATGAATCCTGGTGTGTTAAATGCAAAACGTAGAGTGCCTCCTGTAACTGTGTGTCGGGTTGGTTCATGGTGGGATCATCAAGCAAAACGCTCAAGTTTTAATTTGTTTTCAATGCAACCTTGGTCTTTTTTTTTTTTTTTTTTTCTCCATGTTCTCATAGGGGGATGGGGTTTACCATCACCGCCCTAAACTAGAAAGGTGTGGAAATGCCCTGAGAGAGATGCAACACTTCCAAGAGATAATTGCTTTCCGAGATAGTATCCTAATACATCATGTGTCCAGGATGGGATTTCCTAAAGGCACCTTAGAACTTAGATGACCTTTGTACAATGAAGTACATACTTGAGATAGACAGATGCCACTCTTCTGCTTTGATGTCACCCAGTCAATCCCTCAGTGCAACACATACCCAGTATTTCTAAACTGGCACTTTGGTACTTTGTGCTGTTGGATGGGTAATATTTAACCACGAGGATGCTTATCTTAAAGCTTGTTCTCAGCACTTAGTACACAGTATTTGAGCACTTTGAATGGAAATGTTATTGCCTTGGCTATAGACTAATGGACAGGGGCGATTCTTGGTGCTTTTGGGAAACCCAGCCCTGTTCAGTGTATCAGTTGGTCCTCTGTTACTTGGTCTACCTGTGGATGCTGCTGTTGCTGCTATGTGTTCTAGTTAGCATGTACATAATGTAAACCATCGTAATGATAGCAACTAGCGCTACAGATCCCACTATATGTACATGGCCATCCCTCTTTGTAAAAATGTTTGTATGTATAAAAGAACAAATAAAAAAAATTGTGCAACATTTTAATTAAAAAAAAAAGAGACAAAAATCATCTGTATTATATTTTATCTTATTTTGAATTATAATTGTCAGCTTTGTTTGTTTTTTTTCTACAATAAAAAGACAATTATGATTACGTTATTATTTATTTGTTAACATTATACAGCGCAATGTTGATGTCTTTTTTGTAGCATACAGTAAATTATGTGTCAGTGCTATCTGTGTTTTGGTTTTTGACTTACTTTATAAACCTGGGACATCTGAGAGAGCAATACTGTTATGCACCCTATATCCAGATCCCTCATTTTCTGTCTCAAGACTGACCCGTGTGTCTGTGTGAGAGTTTACGTGTGCAAATGTAGATGGCCTTGTCTACTAATTGTAAAATGATTTGTAGTGGAAACATTTATATTTTTATAATAAATATTCGCAAAATATTTTCCAAAAAATGGATGATGATAGACCTGCTCCTGTGTTTTTATTTTATCACCCGATGATGTCACAGACCCAACACAAAATTTTGGCTTTTCTTTTAACTGTAACCGTATTCCCATATGTTTATGAGATCACAAGTGGAAGTGAAACACTCATAACTCAGATGTCATCTTTTTTATTTTAAATTCCATAGATCAGCCTGTTGGCACATCTTGCCTTCAGGATAAAAGAGGAAGAAAAAAACGGACATGTAGAGTGTACAGGACAGGTGTTTTAAATAACTGAGGAGTCCATAGAAAGGTCATTTATTGCCAAGAAAGGTCTTCTCCATCAATGCACTCTAAGAAACAGCGAATACAAACTAAAGTTAAGTCTAGAGAACAATGTATACGATATTCTCGACATCTCTTAACCCAGTGCAAAAATACCTGTATAATATCAAATGTTACACACCAAAATTACCCAATAACGTTTAGTGTGGTCAAATTTGAATAGACTATTGTACTATCTAGACTACTGCATCTTAATTTTCAAGCAACTTTCACTACTTGGATACTTCAACCCTGAACAGTGGTTTTGATGGATGGCTTCGAGGCCTGGGAGAGTCCTTCCCTTATGGGAAAAAAAAACATGAAAGGTAACATGACATTTATGTCTTATTTTTAGAAATAGCATAAAAATGTGTACATGCTTCAAATTCATATTCAGAGGTCATTAGACAACAAGAAAATGAAAAGTGGATATTTAAGCCTGGATTTAAAGTATATGTCATGCACACACAAATGGAAGATGGAAAGGAAATTATAATTCGACAAAATTATTTTATTTTGATATAATTAGGTGTGCATATTTACTCCAGTTCTTAATTTCCCTAGCCACTTTAGTATAATATATTCTATTTGCCATAGCCCCAATCTTTTTCTAACTATTAACGTACCGTACCCATAGTTGCTATTTGTGCCCACTACAATACAACTAATTTGAAATATTGGTATTTACACATTTAAAAACATTATCAATGCAATTTGGGGTTGTGCATTACTGCCCCCCCAACGTTCAGTCAGGTTATTGGATTATCACATGATGCATTCTTCACCACCTTTCACTCCATATGTTTGGATGTGCTACACTCTGTCCACAAACGCTCCCACATCTGTTAACCAGCCTCCAACTTATCCACCTCACCTCTGTTTCTAATCCTGTCCACCATGCTGCCAGCTCCGAATTTCCTTGGCCACATCTAATAAAGCATCTTGTTTCCGATCACGCATGGTTAGACCCGATTTGTTGTATGATTTTAACGTGGAAGTTCTGCTTTTTCTCTCTATTTGCTGACTGGGAGGAGATGGGATGTGTCAGAGAGGGGAAAGAGTGATGGTCGCTCTGCTCAACATTGAAAGGCTGACACTATCCAGATGCTCCGAGGCAGATGTGCACAGAGAGAAAACAGGACATTGCCCTCCCCAAGTCAGGAAACAATGAACACAGTATGCTTGACAACGCCACCAATTCAGCCTTGTTTCTTTTGTCTATAAAACCTCCAGGGTCCTGAACCCAATGGGGTGATGGGAAAGACAGCAGGGAGGGTGGAAGTGGGGGAGGGAAAGTGACAGAAAGTTGGGGGGAGATGAAACTATATAGAGGAGGGTAGAAGGCAGGTGGAAGTGCGAAGCCTGTCAGTTCTGTCCAAGTAGATAAGAACTTTGCCAACAATGGCATACGATAACACAATAACGCAGGAGAAGATTAACCAGCACCATTCATCATCCTGCTTGTCAGCGCGCTGGTGAAATGCGCTCCCCTAGCTGCTGCAGATAAAGAAGGCACAGTTCCACTTGGAGAGTAATGATAATGAGAAAACAAAGTCTCCATGTGTAAAATTGATTTCCCACTTTGAACATTGGTAATGTGCAATCATGAAAAATACAGCTCTGCAGTAAGACATTGCTCCTTTTGCCAGATTTCTGACAACCAACACTGTTTCTGTGTGGGCTTGGATGTCACAGAACCATCGCTGACGTTGGACTTCAACTTTAATTTTATTTGCGTGCTTAACGTCCTTTTCCTCACGGGCCGAACCATCGCCTTAATCCCCTGTATGTGTACACACAAAAGAAAAGACACAAGCACACGTTTAAAGTATTCACACGTAAACATTTTATGCTAATTAACCAGTGTTTTGTTTGATATTGTTTTTTCTTCATTTTGTGTTTTCCTTTGAATTGTGTGTCAACCATTCCCTCTACGATGATTGTACATCCATAGTTGGCATATTTGTATTTTGACCTGCGCGTTCATTTGTTTTCATGGTTCGACAGCAGGAAATGGAGTCATCATTGGTGCTCACCAAAGAACTCTCAGAATTCCTCAGTTCTTGAAAAACACTTTATGTTTTCTGCTGTCTGTATTTTCAAAAGCATGTCTAGTCACTTAAATAGAACTGATGGAAATGCACCTGATGGACTACGGCCCATATCTCACCCTCCCCCTTGTATCTCCTCCCTTTGATGCCAGTCCTGTAGCCTCATCTCTCTCTCGGTTCTTGCTAAAAAAAACTGGCCTCCAGCTGTGTGCAGCTGCTGTGAAGGACCCGACGCCATGTTGCAAACTCATAATGCTCTGTTCAGCCCCACTCCTGCGGTCTGTTGTGAGGATGTTATACTCGTAAGCCCACTTACCGGGTTCATAGTTCACTGACAAAAGACCAGGATGTCATGTGTTAATTATCTTTGTTGCGCACCATGTTTATCTGTGTGCAGCAGTAGACTGTGGAGGAATTAAGGCATTACCCCTCCAGTGTGTCCAGTGTACAGAATGTGCATGAACACACATAAAGCAAGGCAGTGCTGACAGTAAGAGGATGTTGTATGTACACATTGCATTACATTGCAGGGAGCACTAAGCTGTCACAACAGCACCGGCCAAAAGTGAGTTAACACTGGTGTGCACTGCCTTCAGGAAGTAGCATATGCCCTCACTCTAAAGTCTGACGTGACATAAGCTTTTGCCTTCTCGCATGTGTTTGACTTTTATGTTACTTAACTGTCAGTTATGTAAATGGCAGCACTGCAATCTTAAATAGTGTTTCAAACTCACTTGAGTACTGTGTGACAAATTTTGTAGCTTTAAGCAGTGCAAGTTGTGACTGACATGTTTTCCCTCCGCTGAGACTGTTCATTATTACAAACCACCCCATATGTTCAACGTGGCTACGGCTGATACCAGCTCTTGTACATACTGGCTCTCCCACGACGATTCCCGTACATGACAAACTACAGCCCATATGCCAAAAAAAAACGCCATGGAGACCGTCTGGGATCAGATTCATTCATGTACCTCAGTCAGACAGTAGACTCAGTGCTGCGTAGCCTGTGGATATTA